GACGCTGGGATAACAGAGTGGCTTCCGGTGAAGCCATCCAACAGCTTTCACCAGTGGGAGAATCTCAAGATCCTGTTATCAATAAGGCAAGGACGTTGCTGTGTTGGGATCGTGGCTCAGTTTCGAGAAAACATTCCATGCGTCGGCCAGAAGTGCATTTGTTACCGGGTCAAGGTGTTAATTGCCCAGCTGCTGTTCCTTATAAATAAAGAGGTCGCTGGCTTGAGATCTCTCTGAAAACTTGAGACGGCAGATTTTCACAGTTGATGGAAGTTGAGGTCCTGTTGTGTTGTATTGTAAATGGAATCTGCGTTTAAATATGGGGTTGTTACCCAGTCAATATGGGGTGCTTTGAAGTCCAATTTATTATTTGCTTTGAGCTGAATGTATACATTTCAACCTTCAGATGAGATGTTAAACCCAGGTCCTGTCTGCGCCTGTTCAGACAGACCTTAAAGATCTCTGTGGTGCTGTTGGCAAAGAGAAGGGAGTTTCGCTCGCTGTCCTGTCTGACAATCCTCTGCTAAAGTCCAGCAATCTCCCCAAAGCCATTCTTCAGGTAAGGCAATGAAGACCTTGAATGCTTATAACATAATGTTATTGTGGATCCTGTAGTGTAGTGGTTAGCTCACTCACCTCGCAAGCGAGAAGACCCAGGTTCGATTCCTAGGCAGGGCGAAACCTCAGGCAAGTTTCCTTACTCTACACGCCTCTGCTTACCCAGCAGTAAGTAGGAATCCGGTTGTTAGTTGATTGGAGGATTACTTTCCGGGGGTAATAATCCCCATCTCCCCCTGTCACTCAATCCACGACTGTTTGTGGGACACTGCTGTGTGCTATTGGCTGCTTATTATTAGAGGGTCCCCAGGGCTCATTGAACAAATTGCAATAGAAGAAAACAAAGAATCAAACATGAAAAGTGTATGAAATGATGGGACAGGCACAGGACGGCACTGGCTTAGTTGCATTGCTTTAGAAGCAGTGAGTGAGAATGTCTGACATCTGCCATCTCTCAGTGTAACTGCTCAGTGTTGGTCCTGGCCACAGATGGTTGGCCTGTTTGTAAGAGAATGTTTTATGGAACTTGCTCAACAGCATTAATTCTCTGGCTGATTATTTTATATTGATCGAATTGTTCATGTGTGCTCAGGGCTCTCCACCTCTGACTAACCACACAGTAATGCTGCCTAATGTCTTCAGCAGAACTTATAATTCATCCACTGAACATTCGCTGCTGAAAGTAATTTGTACAGTGTCCAAGTGCAATGCCATCATTGCAGAAACATTTGTGGAGGCTGTAAGAGAAAGTGAGTTACAGCCTGGACAGACGGTAACTCAGGGCACCTCACAGAGGTATAGCAAGATATTGTACAACCTCGCTTTTTAGTCTTTTAAGATCCTAACGGGACTAGATAATGTAGACCATGATAAGCTGTTTTATCTTGTACTGTGTAACTGGAGGACACGGCCTGCGATTGAAGGGGGTAAATTCAGAACAAATCTGCGGAAACATTACTTCAAGTAAATATTCAGTAAACATATGGAACGGGCTTCCTAGGAAGGCGGTGCAAGCAGAAAGAGTTGATTCTTTCAAGAACAAATAAGATAGATTTCTGTTAGGGAATAATATCTTGGAAACAGCATATAGTTTGGGACACGACAAGTGTGCCAGGATGGTGGGAGGTGAACTGGATGGACTTTGGTCTTCTTTCGTCTAGCAAATTCTTACGTTGTGTTCAGAGAGTGAATTATTTTCTTGAGAGAAGATGACACAGAGGGAACCTTGTAGAGGTGTAGCAGGATATTGTTTGAGCAAAGCGACCAAGCCATGCTCACTTCACATGTGAGTTGCTGTAATTTATTGGTGAGAGTCAGGAGTGCGGAGGATATTGATTGTTGCACATTCCCAATTCTGAGGGAATGGGGCTTAGGGTTATGATTGGAAATTCTTATTCACTGATTCGCCCACAGACCACACAGTCACTCACTCCACTTTACAGTATGTCCTGTGAAGCGCTTTCAGACGTCTCGACCACGTGATCAGGCGCTGTATCAAATGCAAGGATTATTATAACAGATGATGCACTAAAATGTCTGTATTCCAAAGATCACTCTGTTCCTAGCAATAGATCAAGCTCCGAGGATACTGTTAGAGGTGAACATATTCCCATTAACTCTCTCACTATTCATCAAACATTAATAGGCTGCGGATGTGATGGGCTTGGAGCTCGGGGATAGCAGGACTGGATAAATCCATTTTGGTGCAATCATTGCATCGTCTCATATATTTGTCCGCAGGGAAGTCCAGTTCTGCACTGTATTGCCTTTGCATCCATTATCAGTTGCTACGAGAGAGACAGGCCGAGCGAAAGTGGCTCTCGTACTGAGAGGCAACAGATAACAAACCTGTGAGGTCTTTAATGGACGAGCTTTTCAGTGAGTTGCAATGCAGAAGCTCCCCCACTGGTTTGCTATTGTTACTTAGCCCCATTCTCTGTCCATCGTTGGCAATAGTAAAGAACAGTGTTCCTCAGACTACGCTGAGGGATTAAACTGCATTCATTAGTAGTTTTAAACATTAATGCTCTGTTAAAGCCGCAGTAGCTTTCATTGAAGGTCTGTTGAAGCCTTTGGTTTGTAACATTTTAGCCCAAATTTTATTGTGAATTTAAATGAAGTATCGCTCACACTGTAAAGCGAGATTCTCTCATTTTTTAAACGTCCGATGCCGCATTTAACGAAATGCACCAATTCATCAATTTGGGATAGCAGGGGCGAGTTCCCGGAGGTTAGAGCACTCGCCTCGCAGGCGAGAGGATCCGGGTTCGATTCCCGGTCAAGGCGAAACCTTAGTCGAGTTTCCTTACTCCACACACACACACACACACCTGTTTACCAGGGGTTAGTAGGAACCGGGTTGTTAGTCGATTGACATATTGCTTTCCAGGGGTAATAATCCCTTTTATATTTTAAAAAAAGTACTCAATGCTCAATTGGCTGCTGTGTTTCGCCCTCAAAATACCCAGTCGGTCCACTTTACAGTATATTCTGTGAATCAGTTTGAGACGTCTCAACGACGCGTTAAGGCTTTATATCAATTGTAAGTATTATTAACGTTGTTGATTTCATGTAGCAGATCGCCCATTCTACACGCTGCAAAGTTGCCTCGATTAAAATTGACACAACTGTTGCTTTCTCGTTGTTAATAATTAGCTTTTAAACTGTATTAGGATTTGAACTAATTAGTTTACCCACAACATCTCCGACCGAACGGTGCAGTGCGTCTGGGATTAGGGGATTTATTAATGAAAATTCTAAAGTTGATTTGATGCTTCGTTTCCTAGGATTGAGCGGAGCATCTCTTGTGCATAAAGAAAGGGTAAAGATTGTAAATATTGTGAGCTATTATCCATATTCTCTAAATACGTTAATTAGCCAAATAACAAAGGCTCCGGGAAAGGCTGCAGAGTCTTTGCAGTTTTCAGTCTCCGTCGAATCTTTCCTCTTTATTTTAGCCTCAAATGTATTGCGTCCCCTCAGTCCCTCAGTCAGAATAATGATAATAACAATCCTCGCATTTGATATAGCGCCTTTCACGTCGGGAGGACGTCCCAAAGCGCTTCACAGAACACACTGTAAAGTGAATTGACTGTATATTTGTGGGCGAACGCGGCAGCCAATTGCGCACAGCAATGTCCCACAAACAGTCGTAGATTGAAAATGACCAATTTATTATTGTTTTTGGTTTTGGAGGATTATTATTAGGCTCTGTGTGGAGTAAGGAAACTTGCCCAAGGTTTGGCCCTCTGCCTGGAATTGAACTCAGGTCTCTCACTTGCAAAGCGAGTGCTCTAAGCAGCGGGTGAGGGTACCGCCCCGACCAGCGCCAGCCCTGGGCTTGGCAACGCTGACCATGTGCCCACCGGGAGCGGTGGGTGGGGATATGTTTTATGAGGGTCAGTGCAAAAGCTTTAGGACCTCGGTTTAATGTCTTCTCGTTGGGAAACCATCTCCACCAACGCAGTGCTGTACAGGAGCGAAAGCCTGTACTATGAAGGGGTGGGGGGGGGGGGGGCTGCTGTGTGGGGGTGGGGGGCTGTGGGTGTGTGTGTGTGGGGCTGTGGCTGTGTGTGTGGGGGTCTGTGTGTGGGTGTGTGGGGGCTGTGTGTGGGGGGGCTGTGTGTGTGTGTGTGGGGCTGTGGGTGTGTGTGGGGGCTGTGTGTGGGGGTGGGGGCTGTGTGTGGGGGGGCTGTGTGTGTGTGTGTGGGGCTGTGGGTGTGTGTGGGGGCTGTGTGTGGGGGTGGGGGCTGTGTGTGGGGGGGCTGTGTGTGTGTGTGTGGGGCTGTGGGTGTGTGTGTGTGTGGGGCTGTGGCTGTGTGTGTGTGTGGGGCTGTGGCTGTCTGTGGGGCTGTGGGGGTGGGGGCTGTGTGTGTGTGTGTGAGGGGGGGGGGGGTGTGGCTGTGCTGTGGTGTGTGTGTGGGGCTGTGGGTGTGTGGGGGTGTGTGTGGGGCTGTGGCTGTGGGGGGGGGGGTGTGGCTGTGCTGTGTGTGTGTGTGGGGCTGTGGGTGTGTGTGGGTGTGTGTGGGGCTGTGGCTGTCTGTGTGGCTGTGGGTGTGTGTGTGTGGGGCTGTGGCTGTGCTGTGGGTGTGTGGCCGTTGGGAGCGCTGTGTCGCTGTGAGTGAGCGCGAGGCCGCGTTAATCGCAGTGAGTGAAGGCCTCGGCCCTGTGTGTGGCTCTCACTGTGAGGCCGTGAGTGTGAGCAGTGAGTGTGTGAGTGAGTGTGAGCAGTGTGTGTGTGTGAGTGAGTGTGAGCAGTGAGTGAGTGAGTGTGAGCAGTGAGTGAGTGTGTGAGTGAGTGTGAGCAGTGAGTGAGTGTGTGAGTGAGTGTGAGCAGTGAGTGAGTGAGTGTGTGAGTGAGTGAGTGTGAGCGGTGAGCAGTGAGTGTGAGCAGTGAGTGTGACAGGGTGAGTGTGAGCAGTGTGAGCAGTGAGTGTGAGCGGGGAGATGGTGCTCGGTGTCCGGGCGGCCTGCGGGATGGCGGGGGCGGCGGCCGTGTTGGTGGCGGTTCACAGTCACGGCCGGAGGTCGGGGGGCGGCGCGGTGCGGGCGGACACCGTCAGCTGGAGCCCGGGAGCGGCGGCGGCGGCGGCGGGAGCGGCGGCGGCCTGGGACTCCAACTGGGACAAGTGAGGCCGGGGCCGGGCCGGGGGGGGCGGTGTCGGGGCTGTGGTGTCGGTGTCGGTGGTGTCGGTGTCGGTGTCGGGGCTTTGCTGTAGTTTCCCCTCAGATTATGTTTTGGAGTATTTCAGTGAAATGGGGATTTTATTTCCTATTTTATTGTATATTTTTAGATGTGAATTTCTCGGATAATTTACTTACAGAAACATATTTCTATCCAAATTGTCACCAACGTATAGTCCTGAGACAGTTTTACTGTATTTTATATGTAACATATTCACATCTAAACTGTTGTTTATTTGTATCTTTGTTATATATTTCCTTAAATGTATACAATTCTCTGTATTTATTTATCTGTTTATATTGTATGTAATTGTTGTTTCCAACTGTATAATTGTTATACAGTAACACAGCGATCTCAGACCTACCGATTGGTGTTCGATTTGCAATCGGTGTATAATATTAATTTGAAGGTTAATGTGTAATTGATATTTATGATACGACTGATGTGTGACAATAATCCGTGTAATTGTTGCAGTGCCTTATTGTGCGGTTGAGATGTCCTCAAAGCGCTGAGTATATAGTGTATATAATACAGGAAAATTACATAGAGAAATTGGTCTTTGCTTTTCTCAATTTGGCTTCAGCGTTCGCGCACAAGTCCACAGTCACTACACTTGACAGTAAAAAAAATGTTTTGAACGCTTACTTAAGCGACATTTTGGTGTTTTGGGTGTTGTAGTGGAGTCCTGTGGCTCAGTGGTGAGAGCACTCGCTTTGCAAGTGAGAGACCTGAGTTCAATTCCAGGCAGAGGGCGAAACCTTGGGCAAGTTTCCTTACTCCTCACAGAGCCTAATAATAATCCCTCCAAAACCAAAAACAATAATAAATTGGTCATTTTCAATCCACGACTGTTTGTGGGACATTGCTGTGCGCAATTGGCTGCCGCGTTCGCCCACAAATATACAGTCAATTCACTTTACAGTGTGTTCTGTGAAGCGCTTTGGGACGTCCTCCAGACGTGAAAAGCGCTATATCAAATGCAAGGATTACTATTATTGTTATTGTACCAAATGCCAGGATTATTTAGTTAATAACGAATTAATTGTTGGTATCAATAAATTAAATCTATGAATCACGAGTTACTTTAATTGTGTTCCTGCAGCGTTGAGCTTCAGCTCCACCGTGTCCTGTCAGTGCTGTTTAAACCCATTCTATTTATTTTGTCTAAAGGCGGGATCCACATTCCCTGATCAAACCCAACAAGAAGAACAAGGAGGCAACCGAGGACGTGACTTCTCAGCTCGAAAACTACAAAGTCAAAGCCACGCGGCACATCTTCCTGATCCGGCACTCGCAGTACAACCTGAACGCCCAGACCGACAAAGAGAGGAGTCTCACATCATTGGGTCTGTACTGCTATAACGTACCGATGTGGATTTGTGGGTTGTGTTAGATACGCACCGTTGTTGTGAATCTCCGCGCAGACATTAAGTGTGAGGTTAGCACAAAGCTGCCTCCTTCGCTACCTGAGAAGTTTTGCATATTTGTGCAGAAAATTGTGTGCATCCTTTCTGGGATTTGAAGTTAGCTGCTGTGAGAACAACTTGCATTTATACAGCATCCGTCACGCAGGGCAGCATCGCAGAGCTGTTGGCCTAAGCTGCCCACTGTCGTGTCACTGAATGTCCGTTGTATTTAACAAAGAAGCAGCGTGGTCCTTGACGCTTCCAAGTAAATCAAATGTAATAAAAGATAACTTTATTTGACAATAGCATGAAAGTAACTGAGAACTGGAACCTTGCTTTGCAGGACGGGAACAGGCAGAGCTGACAGGACAGCGCCTGGCAAGTTTAGGGTTGAACTACAACGTCATTGTTCACTCCAGCATGACGAGAGCGAAGGAGACCACCGCAATCATCAGTAAACATTTACCTGGTGAGTCTCCACTTGGCACAGATCGCTCTCAGTGCGGTGGGGGAATGACTGCATTTGTGGCTACTCTGTATTTGTGTTTTTGTTGATGTATAATGTGGTAGATTTGTAGAACAGTGAGGATACATGTCGTGTGTGAGACTTCTCCGTGTGGTAACCTGCCGGCCAGTTATACCCTCGTGGGAAAAGCTTTACTGTTAAACAGAGATCTTCAGGCAGAATAATAATCCTTGCAATTGATATAACAGTACCACGTCTTTGAGACGTCTCAAATCGCTTCATAGAATATACTGTAAAGTGAATTGACTGTAATTTGTGGGCAGAAGTTCCCATAGAGTGAAAAGTAATTAACATCTTACAGGAATGAATGACTGTAATCTGCAACAGTGATCTAAGGATCATCTACTGAAGGTTCTGTGTTGCGGTTTTAGATGTGGAGATTGTGAGCTGTGATCTGCTGAGGGAAGGAGCGCCAATCGAACCTATCCCACCCATTAGCCATTGGAAACCCGAGGCCATGGTAAACGGCTGTTTTATTAAGAACAAACGTACTTTGGTGTGTGTGTGTGTGTGTGTGTGTGGAGAAAACCAGCGGAGATCAAAATAGTTAGAATTATCTGTCAGTTTGAACATAATTCAGCTCCGGCCATACTTGTAGCACATGAACATATTGAGATTCGGGATAAGAGAACAAATCCAAATGAGGAAAGGATATCCGTACGGACCTGTTAAAATATTCCTATAAAAGCAATGATGCATTTTGAACTTGTCTGAATGTTTACGTACAAAATACGTAGTCAATACACTTTATAGTGAATCCTGTAAAGTGCTTTGAGATAATAATCTTTGCACTTGAATTAACGCCTTATCACATCATTGAAACGGCTCATAAAGCTTCAGAGAATATACTGTAAAGTAACTGTTTAATGTTCTCCCAATGTAAAAGATTGCATCAAATGTGAGGTTTATTACAAGGTAATATTATTATGCTCTACTATTGCGTTATTTTGACAAGTGTGAATGAATTTATTGGTTTAGAATATTAAAAACATTGGCTTAATTGACAGATGGCTTTAAGCAGATCTGCAGGTGGTATTTTTCCTTGTGTTTATTTATCTGGATTAAACAGTTCTGATCCGCTGTGTGATATGGGTTCCTATTTAGAATGCTCTCTCTCAGCAGTATCACGAAGACGGAGCTCGCATCGAAGCTGCCTTCCGTCGCTACATCCACCGCGCTGACCTGAAACAACAGAGCGACAGCTACGAGATCATCGTCTGTCACGCCAATGTGATCCGCTACTTTGTGTGCAGGTCAGTGGTTTATCATTGTGTCGTTTTCTATATTTCAACCGGTCCCTCCTCAGGAATTTTGGCAAACACAGACCCTCATCCCAGCTCTCTGCTACAGCATGAGAGGCCCTGGACACTGCTCGGAGCAGTATCGCTTAGTACAAATCCACCAATTACTGCTCCGAGAAACACACCAAAACTAATACAATACATGTGCTCAATATAAAAAACATTGCAGAAACTCATTGCCTGCCATGCTCGAGTCTCCAAACCAAACTGAGTTATAATAATCCCTGCATTTAATATAGCACCTTATTACATTGTTAAGATGTACTCAAAAGCGCTTCACAGGATATCCTGTAAAGTGGAATGACTATGTATTGTTTCTGCGTTTTATTTGTAGTAAGTTCAGGGCCAGATTGTATCTGTGACCTAAATCACTTGTTTGTTACAGAGCCTTGCAGTTTCCCCCAGAGGGGTGGCTGAGGATGTGTCTGAACAATGGCAGTATCACTTGGCTGACCGTCCGGCCCAATGGCAGGGTGGCCCTTCGCTCATTAGGTGACACAGGCTTCATGCCCCCAGACAAGCTCACCCGCTGACACGTGGCTGCTTCTTGTTTGGGACTTTGTTTTTTCTCTCTCTTTCATTTGCACACATTCACCTGATATCAATCAGTGTGTGAGGTGTTGTGATCTGCCATCACGACCACATTGTCAGGTAATAATGGTGAGGCAATGGGAGCGAGTACCAGTCACCACCTCACTGCTCTTTGCTAAAATAATCATCAGTGATTGATTTTTAAGGGGACTTTCAATAATGTTTGCCTTTATTTCCAGTATTGGACGCTCTGTACCATTTTTTTTTGTTTAGCAGAAACTATTTTAAAATCCAGCTTCAAATGTTTTCAATGTGACTGTGGATGGAAGCAAACATCCACAGTGAGTAAAATGATTAGTCCTCATAATTTAAGATCAGCAAATGTGAAGCTTGTATCATGTCAGAGTTAAACATTGTGACTGATCTCGGCAGCAGGTTAATGTATTTTTGCAATGTAGAGTTGCACAATAAATGTTTGTAATAAACTGCTTTTCTTTAGCCCAGGCCTCGGATTAGCAAAATACTGCAGCTACTGGCAATCTGAAATAAAAATAAGTGGCTGTGAACACTCAGTGAGTGTCTATGGAGAGGAAAGTGGGTTCCCAGTGACTTCAAATCGCTTGTTTCATTAGGAACAAAACAGCAGCAGCTTTTGATTTTCTTTTATCTCTGGTTCAATATCGATGAAAACAGCTGTCCTGGTAGATTGGACATACAAACAATATCTTATTGTTCCAAGTTAACATACTGCATTTATTAGTTTAATTTTGATCTCTTAACAAGTTACGAAGTTATCATCTTTACAGTTGAGGAAACTGTTTGCACAGTAGACTGGCCCCAGTGCTATGTTCTGGGCAAATAGTCACCAGGCGGGCGTTCAATAAGGCAAAGTGTCAGAAACAGGAGGCTGCCACACACTACACTGGCCTTTAAACCTGGTTAAAGTTAAACAGTTAATTACTCAACTCCCCCCTCAACAACACAGCCTCCTGTCCCCAGGTAATGAGAACCATTTATAAAAAGGACTCATCATACACAAATATTATTAAATCACTATCTACATTACACACGTTTTGAATTGATTTCATCAGCTGAACTGGATGTCATGGGCCCTTTGCCGTCACCTACAGACAGACCATTACACGGCTGGTAGGGGTGGTGCTGTACTTGGAAGAAAGGCAATGGTATCACAACAGTAATAAGTGACACAAACACGTCGCACAACAGAAAGTCTGTGAGAATCTAACGCAAACCACAATATAAAAATCCACAAATCACTGGTTTACTTCTACAGAAGTATGTAGGAACTTAATAGACTTTGTTACACACCATTAAGAAACTGATTTACAGTATTTTAGACAGGGACTGACTTGTACTCGATTTATACACTTAATATTTCAGACTTGCACATCATTAAAGCACTTTTTTTTAAAAATCAACACAGTGTGCTGAAACTCTAAAAAGAGTTAAAAATGCTTTCATCCTGTGCAATTTAGCGTTATTTTTATTCTTTCCTCATCGCGCAATCCTGTTTATCACAAATACACCGTAATAAACGTACCATAAATAAGTGTTGCGTCCGAGAGGTGTGGTGGGAGAGTTCAGTGCAAGTATGACCTGCACATTACCTGTTGGCACTCGGGTGTAGGAGCGACTGAAAGCAACTACAAAGCAGGAGCCATAACATTCTTATGCAGATGTGCTGCACCATCTCAGACTCCAACCCCAGCTGCCATCACTGATGAAGCCGTCATCCTGTAGCCTCTCTGTGTGTCCCACTTGCTGCATCTCATCATACTGTCACAACAGACCTTGGTTTAATTTTTTTTAAAAATCAAATAAAAAAGGCACTAAAAAGCTTGCTAAAGCTACAGATGTGATTTCTTTCAGGTCAAATTATATTTAATTGCCACTGAAAAACATACTGCCACTACCTTGTACCCAACAGAGTACAAATAATGCCCTATATTTAGCAGGTCATTATTTGTCACTAATTTCTGTGTTACTTTTATAGTTCACCATTCTGGTAAAAGGTGAACTTGCCTTGTATAATGTATTGGCCTATAGCACAGAACACAAGACACAATGCGACTCCCAACCAACATTGTGGGCTAAAATAAAACGAGGTGCGATCGAGGCCTTTTTTAAAAAAAAAGTGGCTCAATTTCACACTTAGCAATTTCATAAACATTAAAGTGGAAAAAAAAACAGCGTGTTACTAACACCTGTCGTCGGCAGTAAGTATTGTGTCCTCGGAACCCAGTGCCTCAGTTATTTCGGAGAAGCTATCATGTTATCACAGCAAAAAAAAAGGGTGAAATAAAAAGCTTAAAATACCTTCACTTTAGATGAAGAAATGAAACAAAAACACAAATGGGGCCCCGTACCTGGCTGTAAGGAAATACAAGGTGAAAAGTGATCAACAGCAACAGAACATCAGGAAGCAGCCACTGTACATTATAGGGACCAGGATGCCACATTCTGGGCTCCCCAACACTCGGCTTTTGCCAACCTGTGCCTCCGCTCCGGAATTAGGTAAGCGGGATGTGCCCCTCCAGGGAGAGAGAGAGAGAACAATCTATCTCTGGGATTTCCACGTGTAGGTGAGATACGTGGAATTCTCAGTTTGGCTCGGATACTGTTAAGCACAGTGATGGGTTTCCACCTGTGTCAGATACCCAGCTGACCCCCAAACAAATACATTGGAAGATTAATATCCCTGTTTCTCCCCCGACCTTTGAACACTTAGTGACATAACAACAGAAGAGGTTACAGATCAGAAGGTTCAGTGAAGTGTAGAATCCTCAGCACCTGAGAGTGGCTGGCGTAGGCTGGGCTATAGCGCCCTGGGCTGCCCACCTCTACCGAGTGAGAGGAACTGCCGTGCTTCGCTGGGCTGTAGCACAGAGGACTCGGTCTGCCCAGAGTGCTGCACGGAGAGCCTGGGGTAAGGGATTGCATGTTTGGTCTCCTCTTCAGTACAGCAGGACTTGGCCAACTGCAGAGAGAGACAAACACAGCTTGTGAAACAACACATACACAGCGTTTCATTTGATTGTATAGCGCTGCTGCTTTTCGCCACAAAATATACAGTCAAACCACTTTACAGATTATTCCTTGAAGTGAGGAATGATAAGGCGCTCTATCTTATCAAGTGAAAGGATGATTATTACATTGATTGTAATAGTCCTGTAGCTCAGTGGTTAGAGCACATGGTTTGCAAGCGAGAGACCTGGGTTCAATTCCAGTTTCCTTACTCCACACAGAGCCTAATAATAATCCCTCCAAAAACCAAAAACAATAATAAATTGGTCATTTTCAATCTACGACTGTTTGTGGGACATTGCTGTGCGCAATTGGCTGCCGCGTTCGCCCACAAATATCCAGTCAATTCACTTTACAGTGTGTTCTGTGAAGCGCTTTGGGACGTCCTCCCGACGTGAAAAGTGCTATATCAAATGCAAGGATTATTATTAGCTCTACTTAAAAGAATCCTGTGTCTGAAGCTCAGGTGCCAGTTATGTGTTGGGTGTTTAGGTTCATGTGTCCGCACCTACCAGTCTCTTTAGGCCAAACCCACCTCTCCATCTCAGATGCAGAGTAGCTCTGTAAACCAGTCTTCCACCGGCTTAAACAGGGGAACATCTGTCCATCGATGTCCACTCCTTTCACTGCAGCGAGAACATCCCTGTCAAGCTTGCTTGGTTCATCACTGAGTGGAGGGAAAGGGAATAACGTAAGTGCAGCACTGTATAGCCTTCACACAAAGGAAATGACAGACTCTCTGTTTTTAATATCGATTTTAAACTCCCACAGGAAAAGGATACATATTTTAGTAAAATATTTATTGTTCTGCAAGAAACAATGATGGAACCTTTTAACACGGCACAGATATCTGCCCCTCTAAGGCTGTTGATTTCATTTATTGTTACTACTGTTTTGCCCACAAAACAGTCAAAACCAGTATATACTGTGAAGCACTCTGAGGCATCTCATAACGTGATAAATTGCTAAATCAAATGTAAGGATTAATACTGATGTGCAGATCGAAAGAGTATTCTGCTGTAAGTCTGGCTTGGGCTTAAATCCCATTGCACAGATGAAAGGATAGTGCATTAGTTCACTGCATCACCCAACAGTCCATTATGGAAAGTTTAATTCCTAAAAAAAACACCTTCCATAAAAGGATTTTCGACACAAAAGCACAGCTGCACATTAAGGTCAGTCGCTTACCCAACTAGAAACATCTCCTTCATGGCTCCTTTTTTTGACGACACTGGGCCGTGCCAGGAAAGTTGCTGGTGTAGATGCTCTGGGAATTTGCAGATGTTCTCCAGTTGCAGACTAGGACGAGGGTTGAGTTGGCTTGGCTCAGTCTGTGCTGAAACAGTCACAGAAGTGGTCTCCCAGCTGGAGAACTCTCTGTCCTGTAGGCCACATGACTGCCTTGATCACAGTTCCTCTCAGTTTCCAGCTGTAAAGTTGCTATCTGTGCCGTGCAGTGCGACAGATACTCGGAGATCTCAGCCGTGCTGCGTTGCTCTTTATTACTGCCTTCTGCCCCGAAGCAGCTTGTAGTTGCTGTGAGTGACGTCTTGCCTTCCCCCAGTGTGGTTATGGCTATATCAGTCTCAATGAGATCTCCTTTACCACACTCCACACCTCGGTCACCTGCAGCAGGTTTTTCAATCTCTGCTGACACCTGTGTCAGTTTTCCTTCCCCTGACTCTGTGTCGGGCTCATTCTCACTGTCCATCTCCTCACACTCTTGTTCTGCCATCAGACAGGTTGCGGATCTTTCGCCGAACAAATGTCTCTCTTCCTCGTTATCTCGTAGTGAAAGTTTCTCAAACTCGGCCATTAAGTTAGACACCGGAGAGAGGAGAGTTTCGCAGATGGAGTTTGTCTGAGATCGTGAATGTCGCTCACCAGCAATGGGAGTACAGACGCCATTCAGACTGGGCGAGATTTCTTTATCAGTCTGCAAACTCAGAGCGTCCGTTGAATCAATAATGTCCACTGCCCTCTCCACTGGGAGAATGTGACATCCGTTTTCCTCTATAGCACCAGGGCTGTTGCTCAAGCCGGCCAGGGATTTGCTGATATTTAGGGCAGCATTCTGTCGGTTTTTTATTTCTTCCAAACTGATGTCATCATCGTCATCATCCAGAAACGCACTCACGGAGATCGAGTTGCAGTATTTGCTTGTTTTCCCTGCTTTTAAGGCAAATAAAATATTTTTTTTATGTTCCAAACACAAAGCTCTTCATAAACATAACTGTGACTATTTGAACTTAAAATGACTGAAGCGAGTGTTCCACCTCACAAAAGAGAATCCTATTTAAAGATCGGCAACAAACAACAACACATGGCATTTATATAGTTTATATAGCACTTTTCACGTTGGAAGGACGTCCCAATTATGGGTCATTAATTCTATCTGATATCAATGAGGGAAGGTTGTCATTTAAACGGTGAGCGATTATATGATAGGAAACCACCAGTGAAATTACACAAGATATTGTTTTCAAATCACTGGATCAGGGGAAAGACTCCTGTGTGTCTCTGGCAACTTCACTTCTTCCCCACCACATGGCGATTTATATCCCACAGCCTTGTAAGCACATTAATAAAACAATAAAATAGATCAGTCACTTTCACGGCTATTTATGGGGACATCACTGAGTGCAAACTGGTTGCTGCATTTGCCTTACAAAATACAGACAATGCGATCAAACAGAAAAAAAAACATGATTTGAGACATCTTTCCGATGTGAAAGCTGCTGTATCAAATACAAGGATTATTATTATTAGCCAATATCCAGTTTCGCCACCTGTGACTGACAAGGCCCCTACTTTCTATTTTGTCAAATCAAAACTCCACATTTCCACCAGAGAAAAAAGTGACCTACAAAATGTCAATGTGGAGTCCTGAAGCTCAGTGGTTAGAGCACTCGCCTCGCAAGCGAAAGATCTGGGTTCAATTTCCAGCAGGGCGAAATGTTGGGCAAGTTTTCTTACTCCACACGTCTCTGCTTACCGAGCAGTAAGTAGGAACCTGGTTGTTAGTCGATTGGCGGATTGCTTTTCCGGGGGTAATAATTCCTTCCAAAAAATAATAAATTGTTCACTCGATCCATGACTGTTTGTGGGAGGTCGCTGGGTGCAATTGGCTGTTGCGTTTCACCCGTAAAATACAATTAATTCACTTTACAGAATATTCTGTGAAGTGAAGGCGAAGATGATAAGGCTCTATATCAAATGCAAGGAATGTCTGTCTGAGGTTTAGGGATACACGTGGTTGGTAATGTTTATACTCACCACTCGAGGGAGGGCTTTTGAACTTATTGCACATAAAATTATCTCCTTCGTGTTCGTGTCTTTTACTGGACTCCTTCCTGCTCAAATACTCCTCGATTCTCCGGAGACCTTCCGGCATGGCCAGGTCGGTGAAGCAGCCCAGGAATTCCCAGTATTCTGCCCAGGGATACCCCATTTCGTGAGCCAGATGCCTACCGGGGTGAACGTTAGGATAGTGTGAAACTCTCACTACAAGCAAACCCAATGTAGCAAAACAATCCACAATGTCAAAAGTTTTTGTTTTAATTCCTGTGAAGCGCTTTGAACCAATGTGACGTGTTAGGGGGCTGTAAACATACAAGGCTTTACTTGTTACCTGTTGTTCCTGATACAAGTTTTATTTTAGATTTGACTCGAAAAGCATTCGGCTTGGTAACAATGGACTCAAGATGTGAAAGATTGGCTTTAAACCGCAATACTCAGGGAAGCAGTAAAGATCAGTGGTTTTCGAATCGGTCAGAGTACAGTATTGCCAACTCAATCAACTGACAAGCTGGAAACCAGCTGCCCCCTCTGCCCCCAGAGCTAACATGTCTCTACAGTCTCGTCACGCTTTCTCCTCACAACAACTTGCACTTATACAGTGCCCTTCAAGCTGTGTGGAGAGCGCTTTCTCCTTACCTCCCAACTCTCTCGTAGCCTCGCTCGGGGTCTGCCTTTTTAAACTGATGGAAGAGGTTTGTTCTCTCTCGAGGTGGAGTCTTCCACACTCGTCGAAATTCATCCGCCTGCATTAAACACACAAACACTGAAGCTCAGTGTGTTCGGGGTAACAGCATTCTGGGGGATTACTGCCAAACGTTTATTAAAGATTGTTTCACATTGAAGAGTCTGAAAGTGATGGCCATATACACGGGCTCTTCCCAAACACACAACACAAGAGGCTGAGAACATCTCTGGCTGATCTCATTATCTGGCTTCAGCTCCTGGAGACGGAGTTTCTCCTCAAAGCAGCGTCAAGACACTCGGCCGACAGCTATAAGATGGTCGGGCTGGCTCTGTGGTGGTAATTACCTCACACTGTAATCCAGATGAGCCCAGTGGTCACGGGTACAATCTTTTTTAAAAAAAGTACAATATTCGAAGGCGTGCAAGACGCAGTAGTGTAATAGATTGCAGCTTCCGTTAATACCTTAACCAGACCAGCCTCAACTTCTTAGAAACAGTCCCTGGATTCGAGCGATAGTGGAATGAGAAAGCAACGCGGTTACCTTACTGGGTGTCATGGGTCCTGCAAAGGCTCTAACGGCCATAACTGGATCCTTAGGGTTCCCAGTCAGCCTGGGTAGAGATGCACAGGACAGGTTATCTGACTGCTCAGGCGACCAGGGGAAACCAATGACAGGCAGGGCGGAGTTGTCAGTGTCCCTGAGCAATGGCACGTAATATCGATCTGAAACAGAATATTAGTGTTTGAGGTTTGGGCAGTGCTAAGTGACAGCTACAAACTCACTGTGACTGTCTGTAGAGCTAACACTCCATCGAAGCATCCGGGCAGTCTATCTACTCCACAAAGCAGCCTGGTGTCTGGCTGAAGGTGTTTCTCTTAACAGCAGAGACACAGACGCATTATGTTATTATTATGTTAGGCTCAGGGCATAGCAAGCTACAAAGCCACAGGCATTGGGTAACAATCTGAGAGGAGCCACAAGCTCAAACACAAATAAGTTGCATTAAAGGGTCAGTGGGAATTTATTTGGTATTTCCCAATAGTAGTTCTTAATTTTTACTTTAGTCTCTGAAATTGTTAAAAATCCTATGGCACTATACGAAAAGAGAAGGGAGTTTCTCGCTCCCGGGCACTCATTCCATGTTTGTGGGACACTGCTGTGCGCAACTGGCTGCGGCGTTTTGCCCTCAAATACACAGTAAATTGACTTTACAGTATATCCTGTGAAGCGCTTTGAGATGTTTCAATAAGGCGCTATGTGAAATGCAAGGATTATTATTAGTTTCTTTTTTATATTTTTATATTGCACTTGTGTCAAAAAGTGATTACTGTGCTTTAGTTCAGAATTGCTCTGAAGGGAAACTGAAATGTTATTTGCTGTTGGACTTACCCTGTAAATACTCTCTGATTTTTTCCTTTAACTCCTCACTGTGGGTTCTGCTCCTCTCACAGATAACCTATTGGAAGGCAAATCACAATTATCTGTGTCTTTTGAAAAAGAAAAATCAGATAAAATTTACAATGGATTGTCAGAGAGGAACACAGGAATCAGAGTCTTACCTCTAGAGGAGTGTGTTCATACTTGTTCTTCGACGTTTTGACAATGTCAGGATGGGAACATAACACATTAACCACTTCAGCATGTCCAAACTTGCAAGCAAAGTGCAGAGGAGTATCAAACCCCTGACAGTAAAATAAAAGTGAGATCCGGTTACAGTGCAGCCACTGAAAGTAAAATGTCTACAGTATAAAAAATTCTACTAAAAAGTAGATACGAGAAAATTCATGTTTTCCTCTATAAATCATATTTATAATTTTGAGGAAAAAAAAGCCACAACATAAAATCATTCAAGAAATAAATGGGTGTTAAATGAGCTGAGGGCAAATCCTCAATTTGTCACTAAAACTCTGCTCAGCAAATGCTGTTATATCTCTAAATGGCTGGCGAGATGTCAACAGTTCATGTTGTTTTCATATCATTAATAATAATCTTTGCATTTGCTATAGTGGCTTATTACCTTCAAAGCCCTCCACGGTCTTGCTCCCCCCTACTTCTCTGACCTCCTAACCCCCTACCATCCTGTTCGCTCCCTCCTCTCAGTCGGCTCCGGCCTGCTTAATGTCCCCCGCCTTGTTCACCCCACTATTGGTGGATGGGCCTTCTGCCACTCAGCTCCCACCCTCTGGAACTCCATCCCCAGCCCCTCCGTCTCGCCCCATCCCTCACCACCTTCAAGACCCACCTCAAGACCCTCCTGTACGACCGTGCTTTTGATCTCCCTGCTTTCCCCCCTGCCCTTCAACCTCCCCCACCCCGAACCCCATCTCGGGTCTGTAACTCTGTCTGTCCAGTGCCTTGGGACGTCCTCCCAACGTGAAAGGCGCTATAATCCCTCCAAAACCAAAAACAATAATAAAATTGGTCATTTTCAATCTACGACTGTTTGTGGGACATTGCTGTGCGCAATTGGCTGCCGCGTTCGCCCACAAATTTACAGTCAATTCACTTTACAGTGTGTTCTGTGAAGCGCTTTGGGACGTCCTTCCGACGTGAAAAGCGCTATATCAAATGCAAGGATTATTATTATTATTATTATTATTATTATTATTATTATACAAATGTAATTTTGTTGTTGTTGTTTTCACTTCATTGAAATGTCTCCAGGGCTTCCCAGAATATATTGCAAAGTGAATTAACTGTATGTTTTGTGGGTGAAACCCAACAACCAATTGCGCACATGTCCCACAAACAGTTATTAATAATGATATCAAATAGCATCACTTAATAAGAATAATCATCAATGAGCAACTGGGGCTCAACAAATTTAACCAGAGCTATTTTCCCACTTCGAAAAGTCTCAAGATTTCTACATGTATCCAGTGTACAGCTATTTAAAGAAAGGAAACAGCTTTAGAATGAATATTAAGATGTGAGGACACCTTTGTTGTTCACGGAGAGAAAAGAGAAATGGGTACAAACCACTTTATCAGGTGTGTTGAGGTAAAGGTCGACAATATATTTGATGCGTTTCTGCAGCATAATCTCATTGTCGTCTGGATACATCAGCAACATGAATTCAGGGTTCTCCAACGTGTCCAACAGAAACTGGCAAATCAGTGGCTGATTTTCCTTGGCAGCAACATGCATGGCATTGTACCGACAGCCTTCCTACAATCCAGAGAAACAACCATCTGATTCACCTTCGAAAAGTTACCGTTTCCCTTTTACAGAGTTATACTTTTCCTTCTTTGTTCCAGTGGAGAGAATTAATTCCCGGGTGTTCATTTTAAACCCGTCATTCCTGAACCAAGGTGTGTGATCCGGATCATCTCTCTGTCTCTTGAGTTTTAATGAACAAAGTGTCCTAATTTTTTTGGTCAGCCAGTGTTTGACATCAGTGTGCTTAAGAGTATCCAAATCAAGCTGAGATTTCCATGCATCCCACCCACACATGGAAATCCCAGAGATAGGTTGTTGGAATGGAATGTGTACTCTTGCTCCCTGGAGGGACACATCCTGCTTACCTAATTCCGGAAAGTGTTAGGAGCAGGTTGGCAAGAGCCAAGCCTCGGGGTCAGAGTGTGCAATGGGGGTAACTGCTGTTGTCTAACCAGCTAAAACAGCAGAGCTTGCCATTGCTACTGTCCTGTCGAACCAGGTCTACTAGTTATTAACGGGCACCTGATCACCAACCTGTAAAACTGTGGGATTGTCTCCAGAGCCGATCAGGTAGCGTGGATTACTCCACACATAATCAAACAGGGCCGACTTATCTCCTTTCTCCACAGCCTTGCGAAGCTTGGACGTCAGGTCCTGGGAGCGTGGGCTTTTGTAACTGTTTGCCCGCTCCCTGTTTGCAGTTTCCACGTCGGGAGACATTCCATCTGTCAAACAGACAAAAACAAGCATCAAGCTTCAGGTTTGGCTTCAGTCTGAACGAAGGAGCATCAGGATGAGATATCCTTCTCATTCTCGTTGCAAATACAGTAACATCTCACTTTGATGCAATTGGGAAAAGTTTATGTGAACTCTTCAGGGAGACGTGGTACTAACAGCAGCAGATCTATTAAGAAGTGGAATACAGTCACGCTAAAAAAAATCATATCCCCATTCCATTTGAAGCATCCAACAGGAACCCAAACCTTCTGACATTTTTTTAAGAAACTGAGAGACATCCAATAACAACAATAACTTGCATTTATATATTGTCCTTCACGCAGGGCATCATCTCAGATCGCTTTTTCCATGTACGTACTTACCTCTGTTATACATGACTCCAGCTTTCACTGGAGATACACAAGCAGATGACTTGCTCGGGGAGGGGTAGTAATCACAAATGCCTCTAGCAAACTTCTCTGCATCTTCCCGGCTAGTGAAAGCCTTGAACCTGGAGCCTTTCATCAGCTTTACAGCCTGGAGAGCTTCCTTTTTATCCGAATACACATGGGCTCGGTCTGTTTGGGGGAAGCAATCACACACCAGGGTTACAGAAGTAAGCAACAGTCAATAGCAGTCATACCCACCAGAAGTTCCAGATATCTAAAGCAATTCCTTTCCTGATTTGCTCTTAGAAAGTTTATAGCTGAAGAACACACCAATTTTAGCTTTTCCTCTATATCACACAAATATAATGCAAGTCAACCCCACATGCAACACACTCTACAACACTCCAATAAACCTAAATGCACAAATTTCATCACCTTGAAAACTCAACTATCTTGGTTAAAACAGGTTACTCTGATGGCCTAGTGGGTTAAGGCTCAATATAAAAATCATGTAATTGAACATGTTAAAAATTTGAGATGGTTTAACTTGTGTGTTCCAGTACAGAAGGCTTCAGATAGAAGTTCTGCGTGAAGCAAACCTGCACCCGAGGTGACTCTCCATCTCATTCAACCCAGGACAGCGAGGGGAAGCTAGGTACAAGTGGGAGATTATTGAACTATAAACTAAATATTTTCTCTTTCTTTCCTCTATACTCTTTCTCATTCTGAACTCTAATGTCTCAGAGATTGCCATGCTCTTTCCCTTCCTCCAGTTTTCTCTATTACTTTCTGCCACATTCCTCACATAAGGAGCGTAAATTAGAAAATGTACGATTGACCTTCAAAGAGACAGGACTTTACTCTGATTGAGTTACAGGTAGAATGATATCATGTGTGTGAGCTTACCATTCCTGGACATGATGTCATCCCAGACTGGACAAACCCCATAATATAGTGAGGAGGCCGAGGGGGCTGAACCTCGTGGCTGCTGGGAGCTGGTTTGCAAGCCATTAAAAGCCAGGTTATTCGTGTTTGACAATGCTGTCTCGTCTGGAGGGTTCAGGCCCACGTCGTACCCAAAATGTCCATCTTCGCAGCTGCTTGAAACACCGGGCGACCCACTGTCATCCTTCTCCCCGGGCTTTGCTGAAACACTGATTGGTTCTGGTACCTTGTTGGTTTCTCCTCCTGCCCGTTGCACCAACAAAGCCTGTGCTAGCCGCTTCTCAAAAATGAAGCGAGTGGTTGGAGTTATGGGTCCGCATTTCAGTCCAGCATCGATGATTTCCTGTCGCAGCTCATCGTGGCTAAGCTGCTTTAGTCTGGTCAAAATAGCTTCCATCCTTTATTCACCTGCAGGAGAGAAATATGGAATTTTATAGACTACACAACAAGGAAATAGCCCACTCATCCCTGAGCCCCCAATAACAGTTTGTATACTCCACACCAGCCTCTACACTCCCTTACCCCATTCTCTTTGCTCTTGTGTATGCAACAAGTTTCCTCATAAATGTATTGCTTCCAAAATATTTTTGCTTTCTGTTTGATAGGAAACCAAGACAGCTTCAAACTGTTCTTTACGCAAGTGTTTGCGTTACTGTGGGAATGATCATCTCATGCTTAATACTAGGCTTAATACTGTTTATACATTGTTTAAATATTGAATGAATAGTTGGAGCATTACTGGCTTGTAATTCTACAGAGAGGTTTCAGATGACATTCTGTTGCACTTCATAACTATCATTGTGCTATAATCTTTACATATAGCGCACACCATTTTATATTAAAAGTGGATCTAAATTCCAACTGATTATTATGAAAACGATATTTGAGGTGAATTTCACACCTAACAGGAACGATTTGACATAAAGCCACATGCCAGCTGAGTATGAGTTATAAAGAATTCCAGTGCTTGAGCCCTGATTAAGCTTTAAATCCCAGCTCTAATTTATCGCTCATTTTCAAATGAAACAGTTGCTTTTTAAAGTGTTTCAGCAACATTTGGACTCTCTTCCATTCAGACTTTTTAAATTGCCATTGCTGTACCTCAATCTAAAGCCATTGAGAGAACTTGACAGTCCTTTGTGACGCAGCTGGTGTTCCTGCAGTGAGGGTGGGACCTACCCCAAAAACAGCAGCTCCCACGGGATCAGCCAGATGAGAACTGCCTGAGGTTCTTATGGGCCAATAAGCGTGTGACACCATGACTGAAACTACAGGCGACAAGTAGTCTCACAGATCTGCTCTCTCTCTCTCTCGTCCCAGGGGAGGAACAGCAAATAGGGAATGTCAGCCTGAAGGTCAGCACCAGCCAGTCTGAAGCCAAAAATATTAGCTGCAATATTGACTGGTGCGTCTGTAATCTGCAAACACAGTCACTTTATAGCGTAATCCTGTGAAGCGCGTTGAAATATTTTGACGACGCTACATCAAATGCAACGGTTATTTTAAACTACACACTGACCACCACCATGGGCAGGGCTTAACGTAGTTGATGAGAAGACCGAGCTGGCAGAGGGGGAGCTGAGGAGGGTGGGTTCTCAGTGTAGAGGAGGGCCAGGGAAAGAAATTTCATTCCATGTGAGGCAAAATTTTACATCAAAATTGCCATGTGCATCAGATACAGATTCCTCAGGACAGCTGCTAGTCTGAGGAATTATCCACTTGTTTTGTAGAACTTCCCCTCCCAATCTGACAAGAGCACGGAATTTGTCCTCAAGATGATAAGGCAAAACCACCAAATCAGGCTCCACCAATGTAAAGTGCTCCGAGACTTCTCTTTATGAAGGGCTCTATATAAATGTGGTTATTGCGTCCATCCATATAACTGAGCTAACTGCAGAGTTTCTCTGGTTATCAGGCAGATATTGGAATAATCTAACAATATCTGTCATTTTCCAATTAAATTTATTGATCAGAACAAATTAAAACACCCTCCAAATTATCGCTAAAGGGAAGCCAATAAACCAGCAGAAACAATGAACTGGAAAAGCACAGATGCCAGTCTTTTAAAGGCAACGTATCTGACCCCGTATGGATGTCCTCCAGGTTCCTGAAGAACAACACACAGCATGTGTACAAATTACACCAAATGTTTTACTAAGTCACATGCAAAGGCTTTTGTGGAAGAAATCCTATGGTTTTCATGACATCCTCAATCCTTATCAAGCCAGATAATCTGGCTGCAAGGATGGACAGCTGCAATGATTAGGTATGTACAGTATGCAACGATCCAGGCCTATTTCTGGATTACACATTCATCTTGTGTAGGAGGTGTAAAATGACCAACATTTGTACAGTACTGCACATTAAGAATTTATCAGGGAAAGGGATATTGATTCACCTAATCAAATCATATTGGGACTAAATAGAACATTCTTGGATTTACTAAAGACTAGTTTGCACCACAACAATAATAATCGTTGCATTTGATATAGCGCCTTATCACATCTTTGAGACGTCTCAAAGCGCTTCACAGAATATACTGTGAAGTGAATTGACTATATATTTTGTGGGTGAAACAATAATAAATTAAACTTAAGCAATGATCATCCAAATAGGTACAAAGCCCAGAAATATGAATTGTAAGAGATTTTTTAAAAAATGTTTTTATTTATCTCCATTGAAAACTATATTCAGAGTGATAAACGTTCCCTCAGCGACGATGGCCATTAAATATGTAGCAATTGGCAGTAAAGCTCTTTAAAACATTTCCACAAACCACGATCACAACACAACAGTTTCAGAACTTCCTGCATTGACTGTACAAGACACCACCATGAACAGTCTCACAATCTAGGAGCAGAGCGACACAGTGAGTGAGTGGATCACCAACAATATAATAATAATCCTTGCATTTGATACAGCGCCTTTTATCACGTCTGCAAAGCACCTCAAAGTGCTTCACAGAACACATTGTAAAGTGAATTGACTGTAATATGCCGGCAACCTAGAAAAAGGACACCAAAACCACACAGCAAAGGCTTAACAAAAAAATGTTTTTTTTACACACACTCTTATTACAGTTACAAAAAGGGGGTGTGGGGGGGGGAGAAAAAAATATTCAAACCTAGAGATAAGTGACCAGAAAATATACCATCAGGACGTCAGTCAGCCTCAGAAACGCACTGTTCCAGCGCTTTGGGACGTCCTCCCGACGTGAAAGGCGCTCTATAAATGGAATCTTGTTGTTGTTGTTGTTGTTGTTGAAAGGCGCTATACAAACGTAATTTTGTTGTTGTTTAATCACAACACACTGGGCCCCACTGTGCAGAAGGAAGGCTGTACGTGGCGACCCGGGTAGTAAATAGAGACATTAAATATATCCCCTCTTGAAATCAGAACAGTATCTCTGGGCTTTGTAGCTGTTTGAAAGCTCAGCTCAACCCTCCCACTGACAGTCAGTGACAGCGACGGCGACGGTGTTGTCCTATTTCTGTCTGTGACACTCACACACACACAGCACTCGCTTTTTGCGGAGGGTTTATGTCTCAGTCGGTGTTAGTCCCGGACACCCCCCCCCCGCCCCCTCCCCTTCGCCCCCTCACTCTCGTAGCTCTTACTATTTGGGGAAGAAAACGTTCCCAGTCGCACAATAACGGGGACAGAGAGTCCCGACCCTCAGTGTCTGAGCAACAAAAACAGGAAGCGCAGAGCTGAGCTCCAGAGGCGGAGAATAACACGAATGATATAATAATAATAATAAAAGCTGATTATCATTACAATAAATACTGTGATACAGACACTGTGAAGCGGCAGATTTCACCTCAAACCCCCACCGCCCCCCTCCCCCCCCCCCCGGGGGCCCAGGAGCCGCCAACGTCGCCTCAGGGCGGTGTCCGCCCGACAGGAGAGGCCGGAGCCCGCGCTCTCTCAAACACACACACACACCGCGGCCCCGACAACGCCGCCCCGTTACCCCGTAACCCGGTTACCCACCTCCACCTGATCAACATGCTCTGGCGGGACCCGGGGCTCTGGCGGGACCCGGGGCTCTGGCGGGACCCGGGGCTGTGGCGGCGGCGGCCGCGGCTCTGGCGGGACTCGCTGCCGGGCCGGGGTCGTCTGACGGCGGCGGCTCTGGTTGCTGGAGGCCGGTGTTGGCGGAGGCTGTGAGGCCGCGGAGTTGGCGGTTGGAGCCGGGGTTGGGTGTTGGCGGTGGCGGGGCGGAGGGGCCGGTGGCGGGGCTGTGCCGGGCCGGTGGCGCCGGGGTGGGGCCGGTGCCGGGGCGGTGGGGCCGGTGGTGGGGCCGGTGCCGGTGGTGAGGCCGGTGCCGGGGCGGAGGGGCCGGTGGCGGTGGCGGGGCTGTGCCGGGGCGGTGGGGCCGGTGGCGGGGCCGGTGCCGGGGCGGAGGGGCCGGTGGCGGGGCCGGTGCCGGGGCGGAGGGGCCGGTGGCGGGGCTGTGCCGGGGCGGTGGGGCCGGGGTGGGGCCGGTGGCGGGGCTGTGCCGGGGCGGAGGGGCCGGTGCCGGGGCGGCCGGTGCCGGGGCGGAGGGGCCGGTGGCGGTGGGTGAGGGCGGTGGCAGTTGGAGACTCGGGACTGTCCCTCACGCGCTGTCGGCAGCCGCGAGCCGTTCAAACCGTCAGACTGTGAGGACCCCCCCACCCGCTCGCGGCCCCGGGCTGTCTGCGGCGCTGCCTGCGCGCAAACACAGGCTGAGCGACACTTCCCCCGCCCTGCCACCGGGGGCGCCGCAGAGCAGAGACTGTCTGAGCCACAGCGCCCCCCTGCGGCGCGAAGCGATAACAGGTCACACATGTTTTGTGGGTCGTGTTGATGGCACTGCGGAGGTGGCGGCTGTTGACAACAACGAATAGGACTGGAGCAACCGGACCCCGAGTGTCCACACCGGGACCGGCCGTGTGGTTTGGACGGGGGAGAGGTCCCACACCGGCGCTGCTTCTGTTCTTCTGGATGGAAGCAGTCACGGGGCAGAACCGCGTATTTTGCTCTGGAGAAGGGTAGCGGTGGCACTGTCGAGCGCTGCGAGTTGTCCTCCCAAACCTGAACGGCACTCTATAGATGTTCACTGTCTTGTGGGTATATGTGGAACACACACTCCCAACACAAGTAGTTGATCAACTCAACAGGTTGGGCTGAATGGCCAATTCTCGTGATCATATCACTCTGTGGTACTCACTCTAAAGGACTGGGACACGTTTGATCGTTACAGACTCAAAGGAATACATTTTCCAAAAGGCAATTCCTGTGGCGGTGACTGAAGAATGAAATCACACAGTTAGATTCTGTCCCCAAAGTAAGGCAATTCTACCTCCTGTGAAGGCAAAAATGATAAGAATCTAGTTTATTCAAGTGTATTTTTAAAAAAATAAACTAAATAAAAGCAAAAGATTTGAGTGCATATATAGAGATATAAACAGTAAATCAGACACAAGACAAATTGCATTCAATGTCAATTTTTTTTAATCATGTACAGGAAATTCAAACTAGATACACATATACACCCAGCTAATCTGATCCATGCAAATTTCCGATCCCAAGAATAAAGTTTCTCCAGTCAGTTATGTCTTCAAACCATCAGCAAATAGTGTGAAACCAGGAGTCGATAATACCTGGATCCAGCAGCTAAGGTAGAAACAACTGAGGTTTTGCACAAAGGTTGTTGCCATCGATGGAGAGTTTGGATGAAAGTGCCATTTGCTGGAAGTAGCAAAGAGGTAATATCACATGCTCTGGGTGATGTACAAGCAGATAGTGACCCTGTATTAACCAGATTGATTTGCTTCTGTCCAACCTTCGCAATTCATTCAAACCCCTGCAATTACTGACTGCGTACCAGTGCAAACCAACAGGCCTCACAAACGTTTGTGTAAACCTGTGTGCTTTAACAACCCCACTGTACCATTAATACCCTCTTGTAAACAATAATTCATCAATTATTTTTGCATAATACAGCAGCGGTCTTACATTTTAGTAGAGGATCAGCCATTTGGATACTCTCAGGCACGGTGATGGGTTTCCACATGTCAGACACCTACCTGGCTGATCAAATACGTTTCAGAATGAAATGGATTAAGTAACAGTATTAAGCTTTTAACAATGAATATATCTGTTTTGCTTCTGTGTATAAAGTCATATTTGTAACCTTAATGTTATTTCCCCCCTCAATAAGAGCTACTCTTATTTCCCTTTCAAATCATGAGCTGCACATTTCCTGGCAACTCTTGTTATGTTGCTCAAATGTATTTGGGTTAAACACAAACCTGGCAGCTGGCATGAACGAAACATTAGTAAGTTATGTTGGATGTTTGAATACATCAATGTCTGTAGTTTTGTCAAAGAATCCCTCTTGAGATAAATTTCAGTTCCTGTAGATATTCTGCTACAGAGAAATTAAGTGAGTGTTTTTTTTCACACACACTCACATAAGAAAATTAACTCAGTACCTAAGGGATTCTGCCTCCACACCGGACTCTCAATAAACACCCACCCACACATTATCATCAGGTGTTACAAATAAAATATGAACAAATGTGAAATAAATAGTGCAAAAATAAAGAGAATATCACACCTGGATATTTTGAGCAATGATATACAAGTCCATTAAAAGAACATTTTTTTAAAACTACAATTCTAAAACCAGAGGAAAAAAAGTAAGTCAACACAATTACATGTACATTTATAACCAAAAGTGCAAAATGCTGTAATAAGAAACTTCATAGATTAGAACCAAAAAACACAGCTTTTGGAAGAGGGGAAAAAAATTAAAAATATGACTATTTTCAAAGCTCTTTTCAGAACTAGTGTATCTGAAAGGAGTTGTGTAGTGTATTGATTAGAACACTCGCTTCACAAGCTGGCGACAAATTAACATTTTCCCCTCTCTCCCCCTAAAAAAAAGTGTTTTTGTTCTAATGATGAACTTTCCTTTTGTTCGTTCGTCAACAAAACACACAGACACTGAATTACAGTCAATCCTGTGAAGCGTGTTTTACGTGTCCTCACGACATGAAAGGCACTTGTATCAGATGTGATTATTATCATCAAACAAAAAAAACTAACATCCATGACATAAGTTGGCCAAAAAAAAAAATCAGAATAATAAATAGGAAGAGAAACACCCACCTAAAGCCTGAACATTTTGAACAACGGATTTGATGGTAACAACAGGTTTTGAGCTAGTTCGATGACAGAATATGTTTTTCAAATGCCATCCGATTTATATGGTTGGCATTTCACCCACAAAATATATAGTCAATTCACTTTACAGAATATTCTGTGAAGCGCTTCGAGACGTCTCGAAGACGTGATAAGGCACTGTATCAAATGCAAGGATTATTATTATTATTATTATATTGGCCAGAGTGGCCCAACCTTTTGGCTGCTGAGGGCCCTATTTGAGATCGTCCACAGGCTGCGTAGCAATATTTTTATGTTTCCCTTCCAGAAACATAACCTAACATTTACAGGTGATGGAGGGAGTGGGTGAGCCAGATGAAATGGTGGGGAAAAAATTAAATCCGCCAGTTGGACCTCCCTGTGACTGAGCTTTAGTAATCTTAAACCCTCCTGTGTAAACACCATCACACATCCAAGGACATTGTGTACAGGGGACATTCTAAGAGTTAGCACAAATGATTAAAGCCTACATGCATCACATATATACTGTATATTAAAAAAATCCCACCAATGTGCAATTAAAGAAAATAGACTGCAGAAAGTCTGCGATTGTAATTTTATCGAACACCTTCATTCTCGCTATCTGACTTCGCCGTGTGGTCGCAATCATTTGATGAGTTTAACCATCTTAAAACCACCACACCCACAACTTGCGTTTACAGAGCGCCACTCACACAGGGTAGTGTCGCAGAGCACTTAGACCCAAGTATCTTTTTTTCCTTCATTTCAGAACAGAACGTTAGACAAACGCCACTTAAATCACAGAATAGCGTCCAGAGTCAGCGTAACCACCTCCATGTTAAAGAACTCTCGCACTTCAATTGGATTCTGTATTCCAAAAGGTCCCCCATTCACACACTGGCTTTGATAACATTAAAAACGTGAACGAGAGTTAAGCAAACTATGAAGCAACGTGCACTGGTTAGTGTTGGATGCTCAGGCACATAATAATATAATGGCGCAAAAGCGATTTAGACTCCAATGTTAAAAAAAAAAGAAAGTAAAAGGGAAACAAAGATCAAAAAACATTTACCAAAAAATTAAGTTTATTGCACAATGCTCTCCAGCAATGTAACGAACAGCTTCAACCGCCTTATTAACATGCTTGTCAAACACTCACACTGTACAAGGCAGCCCAGTGCCAAGGACAGCAGAGATTCTGTAGAGCAGGGGCGTCCAATCTTTTGGCTGCCGACGACCGGATGCCCGGTCTGAAAAACGTCCCCAGGCCGCATAATAATAATAATCCTTGCATTTGATATAGCGCTTTATCACGTCTTCGAAACATCTCAAAGCGCTTCACAGAATAGACTGTAAAGTGAACTGACTGTATATTTTTTGTGGGTGAAACGCGGCAGCCAATTGTGCACAGCAGCGTCCCCCCAAATAGACGTGGATTGAGTGACCAAATTATTATTATTTTTTTTGAAGGGATTATTACCCCCAGTAAAGTGATCCGCCAATCGACTTAACAACCGGGTTCCTACATACTGCTAGATAAACAGAGGCGTGTGCGTGGAGTAAGGAAACTTGCCCAACGTTTCGCCTGTCTGGGAATCAAACCCAGGTATTCGCTTGCGAGTCAAGGGAGGTGGGGAGGGTGGTGGGGAGGGCAGGCTGTTTGAGATCGGCCCGGCTGTCAGTTGGACCACTCTGCTGTAGATTATCAACAAGAAAAAAAACACAGAAACTCCCCCCTGAAATATTAAACTTAGCAATGAGTGATAAGTACTGAGCAAGCTCTCCCCCAGGTAAAATAGAGAGGATTCTAAGATCAAAGCAGGAAATGTAGTGCACTAACTCTGACTGCAGTCAAAGCTGTTTGAGGTACTTTAGATGTGTTTGTTACCAAGACTACTCTACATTACTGATGAAAGGGAATCACCTTTCGGGAAATACTTGAAAGTTCAAGTCAATGACTGTCTCTTCTTCTCCTGAAGGCCAAACAGAGAAAGTCTAATAGAAACATATCACGTCTGTGCCGAATCACAAAACAATTTTCAATATAGATCTCAATAATAAGGGAAACAAAACAATCATAATAAAGATTTGCAACTTTCAAAAAGTAAAAGGTTATTATTTTCACAAATAAATTAGGATGGTGATATGGTCTAATTTTGTTGTTTAAACCTCTGCTAAATCGAAGTGAATCACCTGTATTAATGTTCACTTATGGTAGAAATTCCCCAACAAATTATTATTTATCATTTCCCCCCACACCCACCTGGATGATCAGTGCCTCTTAGACAACGGAAAAAGACCAAGTGAAATGTTACCAAGTTGGCCCCAATCTTTCCTTCTCTTTTCCCAAAGGGAAGTCTTCATGTACATTCCTCTCTCTATACAAATCCTGCTGCCAAGGCAGTCAAACCCATGACAAACAGTGGTGCAAACACCTCAACCACTTAGTTAACAAACCCACGGGGGAGGTGGTTGAAGCCTTGGCAGTTTGGAAACTTTCCAGCCCATCAGTGTTGGTGCCCAAGGTCAGCATAGTGCTACTCGCCCTGCTGGAGAATCTCTTCACTCACTCACTCTTGACTGTTCCCACCAGTTAGGTTGCTATTTGGTGTTGCTGTATTGTTGTTGAACTGGTTTTCTCTGGAGGCTCCAGGATGCTCTTCCAACCCCAGGGCGGAGCCGTCCACAGTCAGTTCCATGAACTGTCCCTCGATCTGTGTCCACGAGGACATGGACTGGTGCACGGTGACCGTGTGCTCCTCCATCTGCCGTTGTAAACTATCCATCTCTTGCCTTTGGCGAGAGGGAAAGAGAGCTTGTTCAACACGGGGCTACGCACAGGTTACGTTTTCAAAAAACACCACCACCATTCACTATTAAAAAGCAACAACTTGCATTTCTATAGCGCCCCACATGCAGGATAGCATCCCAGGGGACTTGACAACATCCCCAACAACAGTACAATCATCAACCCTCGCACAATTTAATTCTGTTCAGGTTCCTCGCCCTTAACCACTCACCCCCACCCCCGCCTCAACAATTGAATGTCTTGTGTTCGGTGAGCATCTCAAGACACTCAGACACAGAACAACCCTTCCCTGTAAGGGACTCACCTGAGCTGCTTCAAACAGGTGTGAAGGTTGTTAAGAGGCTCCTTGCTGACGACCTGTGGTCTGAGCAGCTCCTCCAGCAGGGCGGCAGGTACAGGGCAGTCAGGGATCTTAACCGGCGTCACGGGGGTCGATGAAACAATGTCACCTTTTATCTCCATCCGCTGCTCAGACAGAGAGAAAGACACCATCAATTGACAACTGATGGAAAAATTACATGTGTAAGAAAAATGTATAGTTTTGTGAAAAAAAAGCAGATATTTAGCACTGCAATGGATATAATAATAATCCTCGCATTTGATATAGCGCCTTTTCATGTCCTTGAGGCGTCTCAAAGCGCTTCACAGAATATACTGTAAAGTGTAGTGACTGTATTTTGTGGGCAAAACGCGGCAGCCAATTGCGCACAGCAGTGTCCCATGAACAGTCATGGATTGAGTGAACAAACTATTTTTCTTAATTTTGAAGGGATTATTACGCCCAGAAAAGCAATCGACTAATTACTAGGCTCCTACTTACTGTTAGATAAACAGAGGGGTGTGTGTGTGTGGAGTAAGGAAACTTGCCCAACATACAGCTCGATTAGTTTTGGTCAACACACTGGTTTAAAATGAATAATTAATTTGCTTGAGCAGGGAAAGGATTCTCTTTCCTGAAGTTCCGGGCTTACCTTGCGGGTTCTGGTCTGCTTGAGGTCCACCTTTAGCTGCTGGTTTTGCTGCAGCAATGTCTTCATGCCGTTTCTCAGCTCTGTCACCTTGGTCTGGAGCAGGAACTTGTCTTTACGAGTCACCGTCAACTCCTCCTGCAGGTCCTCCAGATTAGCCTTGATCCCCTACAAATAACAACAAATTCAATTTGTACAGCGCCTTTCATGTCAATAGGATGTCCCAAAGTGCTGGACAGTCAGGAATCCGCACCCGAGCTGTGGTGGGGACCAGGAGTGAAAAGCACCTACACACCAACTGGGTATCAACATGACCAAACATTAAGCTGAAAGACTGGATCAGCCAATACTAAATTTAAACAAAAAAACACTAGAAACTTTTAAAACCTATTTTTCACATGTATAATCCTTCAACAGGTTTTCTCTCTGGGAATCTCCATGTGTAGATGGGATGCATGGAATTCTCAGCTTGGTTTGAAGACTCTTAAGCACAGTGTCAGATTTCCACACGTGCCACGCTGACCACAAAAAAAACATGATCAACAGGTCTGTCGAGGAACAAAAATGAAGATAAACCAAATGCATAATTTGGTGGCAATTGTGTGGCTTTCTTTCCCCTCGAGGACTCTGATTCACTGGAAATTGGATTAGAATCGTTCAACGACAAAAAAGTTACGCACGACTTTCCAATCCTCTCAGAACTCATCTAGATTTAGTGAACGTCAGGATTTTCAGTCTCCACTTGAAGATTATTATTATTATTATTACATCCGGTTTGGAAATCTGGAATACTCAAGATGGAGTTCACCACACGTCTCTGGTGTGGAGTGTATCCCACCTGCAGAGTGTCCTGTAGACCCTCCAGTTCCTTCTGACTTCGCTGCTCTGTCAAGGACAACTGTTGCCTTATGGCTTGTAGCTCTCGTTCCTTCTGCTCCACCTCCCATTTCAAGTCTTCCACCTCGAAACAACAACAACAACAAATTACATTATATTCTTTCACGTCGAGAGGGAATCCCAAGGCGCTGGACAGAAAAGAATTTGCACCTGAGCTGGGGGTTGGGATCAGATGGGGTGGAGGCAGAGTAGGGCAGGTGACCAAAGAAGGGTCTTGAGTGAGGCAAGGGAGGGGGGGAGTGGGTGGCGCGAGAGAAAGAGAGCAGCTTATTTATTCAGGAACAAGGTCTCAGAGCTCACTGCTGCTCCGAAAATTCTACCCCGAAAACTGAATAAACGTGTCGAAGGAGAATGGGACCCTTTAAAACATTACAGCTGGTCACTACTAGAGGGACATGTCACGCCTGCACCACCGCATTGAGAACGGCAACGTGCAGTATTATGGACGGCTTGCGATCTGTAGCCGACGTGAAACATTTTCCCCCCAAACGTGGTTCTTATAACGACCCTGGCGCTTGATACAGCGCTCGGTCGCGTCATTTGAGACGCCTCAAAGCGCTTCACAGAATATTCCGTAAGGTGAACTGACTGTGTTAATTTGTGAGCGAAACACGGCAGCCAATTGCGCTCAGCAGCGTAGCCCACAAACAGTTGCGGAGTGAGTCGGTGACTGTACCTCCTGGTTGGCTGCTGGCTGTTTGTTAAGTTCTTCGTCCAGCTGTTTCTGCAGGAGCTGAAGCTGGGTCCGGGTCGCGGCCAGTTCTTCCTGGAATTCCGCCACCTCCTGAGAATGTTTCCCTTCCTGGTTCCTACGACAACAAGATTATATTTGTACAGCGCCTTTCACGTCGGAGGACGTCCCAAGGCGCTGGACAGAGTACAGTATTTCCCATTAGGGCAACAGCATCATGTGGGGACACAAACACACACACACACACACACAGACGCCATGTCCTCGATATGAAGTGGAAATGATGAAGAGTTTCACACCTCAATATAGCGATTGCCCTGGAGGGCCAGCCTACACCGACATGTGGGGGGGGGTTGAGCTCACAATTATTGAGCTCCAAGGCTACTAACTGAGCCAAGCTGACACCTAATGATAACCCACAGTTATCCCTGTGCCGGTGGTTTATGGCTGAGACCGCCTGTGAAATCACAGATGTGCTGTACAGTTGTGTTGACTTACTGGAGTTTGTCGGCTTCGGCCTGGAGAGCTCTCACCAGCTGCTCTTTGCCCTGCAGTTCCTTCTTCACCTCACTGAGCTCCAGCGCCGCCGCTCGGTAGTGACGCCGGTTGTGACCAGCCTCGGCTTTGGCTGCTGATACCTGCACATCGGCAGCGGAGAGCGAAACAATAAGGTCATTAATCGTTAGACCGGCGACGCAGTGACAAAGGTGCAGTTTAATAATCCTTCATTCCTGGTTCACGGGTACAGTGTGAGTGTATTCTACATCTTCCTTCAGATCTAGGGTTACCCTGGGGAGCTCGGACACTAGGGTTTGGAGACACTCTGTGAAAACCCGGGAGAAATAAACTGGAGCCTCAACAACAACTACATATCACCCCTCACACAGGGTAACCTCCGGGAGGTGATCATAGACACGGTTGAAGAGGAAGGTCTTCAAGCGCAAGAGTGTTCCAGAGTTTTGGAGAGTAGTGGCTGAAAGCACGTCAACGGATGGTGGTACGGGGGTCACAATGGAGCCTGTGAAGGTGACACCTCACTCACCTGCTGTTTCAGCTCCTTAACGTTTCCCCTCTCCCTTTCTAACGCAGACTGTAAGGCATGAACCAGGCGCTTCATCTGCTGGTCCTCCTCCTCCTTGCGCTTCAGCACAGCTTGTACCTGCCACAGGGTTAACAAGGATAGTCCACAACACCCCCTTCACACAGAGAGAGAGAAAAAGAGCGCGACAGACAGACACACACACACGGTAGTTCTTTTTACTCAGTGCAATGCTGTCTATCAATAGGGTGAACAGAAGGGAATGAAGAGAGAGCGAGAGGGGGAAAGGCTGGTGAGGGAAACAGATTGCACAGAGCGTTACAGCCCAATCAGCCAGCAGATAGACCTCATGGACCTGCTCCCCCGACCCACACCCTCCACAAGGCTTCCTCTCTGTACCTGCAGGTTCAGCTGCACTAAGTCGGCCTCCCTCTTGGCCAGGGCAGTCTCCAGGATGCTGGTGTGCTCCTTCAGGGCGGCGTGAGACAGGCTGAGGCCGGACAGCTTCCCCCGCTCGTGCTCCAGCTCCAGAGACAGCTTTTTATTAGCTTCCTCCAAACGGCGGATCTTCTTCCGGAATCCTCTGGCCTCCTGAAGCTATGAGAGAGAGCGAGAGAGGTGGGGGGGGGGTCCTCGCGTTAAAGGGAAGACACCAGTCAAACACCAGGCCACAAACCGAAAACCTCATCAGATTATATAGGATTCCACACAGCCAGGTATCACAGGAGTTGGCCGAGCTCCTTTAATGAGCTGTGGGACGTCCTCCTGACGTGAAAGGCGCTTTATAAATGGAATCTTGTTGTTGTTGTGTTACAGCAGGAATTCTCAGCACACTTCCTCCCACCTCATTAACCGTCTTGAGACGGGCCTTGAAGGAGGCAAGGGAGGGAGCGAGGCGAAGGGACCGTGCGCCTAGCCCTGCGATGCTGTAAGCTTTGCCCGAATAAAGTTGTGTGGGCTAGAGAACAGCTCGCTCGCTTCTCTCTCTCTCTCTTGTATTTGCTTACCTCGTCCTCCAGTTCTAGAACCTTCTCTCTGTAGTCCTCCAGCTGCTGGCTGGTGAGGGAGATCACTTCCTGCAGCTCTTTCTCCAGCAAGGCTTTGCTCTGGGACACTGCCTGCAGCTCCGACAGCAAAGCCTGAATCCGTTCCTAGTCACAGAACAAAAGGCTTTGTCAGCACAGCTCCCAATTACATTCTTGATATATATAAAAAATATATAGATATACACACACAGCAACACCACAATATGAATTAAAAGTAATAATAAATTCTGCCACTCAAACTGTAGTGGGGAAAAAAAATAAGACTTTCTCATTCCGTGTCAAACACTCCTGAAATTTCTGTACACGAGTTTTCTTCTTCTACAATAATTCTTGCGTTGATGTAGCACCTTCCGAGGCAGTTTAAAAGCCTCAAAGCGCTTTACTGAGTTCACTGCGAAACGTAGAGACTTGTGGATGATGTGGGCAAACACAGCAGCCATGTCGTGCATAGCAATGAAGGGAAGTGAAGAATCAATTCAGCGTCTTGGGACGTTCTTCTGACATGACAGCCACTGTCTAGATATAATTTGTTGTTGGTTAGAGGATTGTCGGCTAGGACACAAGGAGAGAGAGAGAGAGATTCGCTTTCTCTTTGCAAACAGTGCTGTGGGATGTATGACGTCTTTGGGTGAGCCAAGCTACCAACTGTAGGGGGTTAAGAATAACGTATAGATGCTGTGAACAGGGTCGTACCTGCAGAACAATCTCGTTCCCCCCCTCGGCCACCTGGGCTCTCAGTTTGCTCAGCTCAGCCTCGGCCGACTCCTTGCTGGTCAGGGCTTCCTGTAGCCGGCGGCTGAGGATCCCCACCGCGTTCTCGTAGGCCTTGTGTTTGGCTTTCATGTCTCTCTGGGCGCTGGTCAGGTCCGTGCCCAGCTTCTTCATCCGGACCTTTTGCTCTGAGATGCCTCTGAAACCAACATCGCCACGGGTCAATTCATTAAGTTATCCCCCAAATAACATCAGTCACTCACCCAACTGTTTGTGGGACACTGCTGTGCGCAACTGGCTAACAAACACACACCCACCCACCTTTTAGCTTCCACCTGCAACTCCTCCACCTCCTTCCTCAGTGTCTCGTTCTCCTGGGACAGCGAGCTGAGCTGGCTTCTGTCAAACTTCACCGACTGCAAGAAGCAGGAAAGAGTTAAGGGTTAACAGCGACAAAACATAAAACTAAATCAGCTTCACACCAACATTAACACCACATGAGGCGATTATCATTGTGATGTTCAAAGTGATTTAACACTGCCCCGCACAGTGCTTGTTTTCCACGTTGTGCTACAATAGGGAGCAGTGTATAAGGACAATAAAGAGCGGTTCATTAGGTCCTTGCAAGCTGCTCCCTTCCAACATCCCCAGTTCTGACGAAAAGTCATCGACCTGAAACTTTAATCCACTTTCCTCTCTCCATAGATGCTGCCTGACCTGCTGAGTGTTATTTATTACATGTGTACCTGGAGCTCAGTTTCCAGCTCATCCCGATCTTTCAGAGCCAGCTCCAGGTGAGCTTCGACTTCAGCCATGTCGTGCTGAACACGGGAGAGGTCCCTGTGTAGGCGAGTCTGCTCATTCCCCGCTGACTTGGCCTCTGTTTTCAGCTGGAGCAGTTCCTGTTTGCACTCCTTCACCTCGCATTCCAGCCTCTTCTTGGTGGATTTTAACTCGCTGATCAACTGATCTTTCGAGGTGGCATCTCGTCGATAGGCCTCCACCATCACCTAAGGAGAAGATTCCATCAACAGGGAATTCAAGTCAACACAAGTCGTTGTGATCCCACTGCTGAATAAGCAGTGGGAAAGTTTGACTGACAGCAATATTAATGGAAAGCTGAGCAGTTTTAGTTGGTTAGACTCCAGCAGTTACCCCAACACACACTTTGGGCTCCCCCCAAGCCTTGGCTCTTGCCAACCTGGACCTAATACTTGCCAGGTGCGTCCCTCCAGGGAGAGAGGGAGAGTGTACATTCCATTGCAACAATCTATCTCAGGGATTTCCATGTGTAGATGGGATGCATGGAAATCTGAGCTCTTTGAACAGCGACATGGGATGTTTAACATCCACCTGAACAGGCTCTATGCAAACATATACACACTGTAAACCACATGTCAATACCCGTGGGTTCAACCTGAACATCTCAAGTGACTATCTGCATCTCCCTCCCTCCCTCACCTTCTGCTGAACAAGTTGCTCTTTCAGTTTCTGAGACTGTTTCTTAAAGCTCGTGTTTTCCTGCTGCATACTCTTCACCTGGGGAGAAAGAGGGAGAAAATCAAGAGAAGCACTAACTGTACGGTTTCTCTCTTTCTCTGGGAATGGGAGGCGGTGCTGCCACTCCTGCTCCTCTGCCAGGAGGGAAAGGAAGAGGTGAGAAAACCTGCGTTACCCTTGGACGCTGGTTAATTCGGACGGAAAACGCCCGACCCCGATGTGTCCGGTTTAAGCGGCTTCCACTGTATATAACAGCTACCTGGCTGGTCTTCACAGCGATCTCCTGCTGAAGCTGCTCCAACATCTCGGAGGCCAGTGCCGTGCCCTCCTCCAGGGACTGGGCTCCTCTCAGCTGCACCTCCTGATCAGTCTGCCCTGCGTGCAGGGCCACCTCCAGCACAATCTTCTCCTGCTGTAAGCTCTGGATCAACTCGTCTTTGGCACTGCCATCACTCTGGGCCTCTTCCAGCTGCGCTTCCAACCCATCGTATCGTGCCTGCAACTCGCTTAGCCCTTGCTTCTTGGTGTGCAGGGCCTCCTGGGCTAAGGTCAGCTGCTTCATTAGGTCCAACTGTTCCTGATGTAAAGCTTCCAGCTGGAGCTCTCGCTGTTTCAGATTTAGCCTGGCCTGGAGAGAAGCAACACACAGTCACTACATTTTACACAGGATCAGGTGAAGCGCTTCGAGACATCCTTCTGACGAGCAAGGCGCTAAATAATTCAACAATTGAAGGAGGCAAGGGAGGGAGGAATAATAATCCTTATATTTGATTATAGCGCCTTATCACGTTGTTGAGACGTCTCAAAGCACTTGGCAAGATATACTGTAAATATAAATCAAATGTAAGCATTAATTATTGTTGCTGACCGCCTCCAGCTCCCTCTCCAATGCTGTAGCAGAGTGAGTGAGCTTCTGAAGATGCTCTCGCTCTTCTTCAAATTCTTCAAGCTTTTGTGTTAGATCATCTTCCACCATCACCTTGGCCTCTTGGATCTGCTGGAAAGCCTTCTCCTGGTCCAACATGTCCACCTGATCATGGCAACGACATTAAAAAAAAAACTAAATTATCTCTGCCTTTAGTCATGGATCGAGTAACCACATTTTTGTTTTAATGTCACAATCATGTGCAGAATGCGCATTGTGCTGTGCGAGTAAATTGTAGCAATGCCAATAAGGTTGACTGAATGCGATGCCTGGTTAACAAGCCCAGGCTACAAACAAGCAGCAGTGTGCTTGTGTCACCTGGCCAGGTTTTGAATGGAAGCACAGAAGAACTCTGCTCCATTGGAGATGGCAGGTTAAACTGTTGTCAGGAAGTCAGGAACAGATTTCACAGTCAACACCCATTAAGCTCTGCCACCGTGTAACAGTGAATTACTGTACATCACAGCCAGGATTGTCTTTCACACAATTCATTACGGTAAGGAGATTGACCAGGCTTTGCTGAAGACACGGTTACAAACGTTGACCTACAATCTGTGTCGGTAGTTAATAAGCATATTGAGACAAGGTGAATGGCTGTGATCTTCACCTCGATGTTTTGCAGGTGGACAGCGATGCGCTCCTTCTCTTTGATGGATTTCTGCTGGGTTTCTGTGAGCTGCTGGAACAGCGAGACATTCTCCATCTTCAGGTGCTCCACCGTGCTCGCCTGGGTCATGTGACCAGCCTGTCAACACAAGTTATCACAATCCCTGAATCATTAAATGTTAAGAACATAAGAATTTGCCGGACGATTGAAGTCCAAGATCCATCCTGTTCTCCTTCCACCATCCTGGGCAGTCGCTTAACATGTCGTGTCCCAAACTATATACGGTATCCCCAGATATTATTTTCCTAAACAAAATCTATCTCATTTGCTTTTGAAAGAATCCATATTTTCCGCTATCGCTGTGGGTCTCCCTCGGGAGACTGTTCCACACGTTCACCACTCGCTCGCTGGCCGAAGTCGTGCTTTACCTGCATGGTTGCCATTTCGCCTTGTAGCCGGACTCGTGCCTCTTGCGCCAATGCCAGCTGCTGCTGGTACCACAGCCTGACCTGCTGCAGGGAGAGGATCTCAGACTGCGATGCCTTGAGCTGGCTGCTGAGGGCGGTGCGGTCCCACTGTGCCTGCTGGAGCTGGCTCTGCAGGGTGGTCATTTGTAGCCGAAGATCATGGACTGAGCGAGGGGGAAAAGTGGAGGCCGGACAAACACATTAATCCAACCTGCGGGCCTGTCTCACACGTACAACAGCCTTCATACAGAGGCCTTCACGCAAGGTAATAATAATAATAATATTTCTTGCATTTAATATAACGCCTTATCACGTCATTAAGACGTCTCAAAGCGCTTCACAGGATATATTGTAAAGTGGAGTGACTGTGTATTTTGTGGGCGAAATGCGGCAGAAGTGTCCAACAAACAGACATGGAATGGGTGACCACATTATTAGTTAAAAATGTTTTTTTTAATAAAAAAGGGACGATTATCCCCGGAACAACATACCTGTACTGTCTCTGCTAGTGACAGCTCGTCGCATTTCCTCCACCTTCCCAATCAGCCTCTGGTACTGCTCCTCAGCCAGTTGTAGATCATTGCTGAGGCCGATCACACTGGCGTTCTTAGTCTCCAGGTGAGTCTGCAGCTCAGTCACTGTTTGCTCCAGGCCGCTGCAGGTTTGCTGTAAGGAGCTCACTTCCACATTCAGTGAGCCATGTTTCTGCTCACTCAGCACTCGCTGTTCATCCTGGGCCTGCAGCTGTGCGTTCAAAGCTGCTATTTGGGCCTGCAATTCTGTCTTCTCTTTCAAAGCCTAAAAATAATAATAATGATGATGATGATAACAAACACATTAGTTGAAGCTTAATCATTATTCTAACAAATAACACTGACCTGCACCTTGCGAGTACCTCATTAGAGGCATCAATTTATTATTCAGTCCAATGTATTACCTGAAACTAATGGTGAGTTTAGGCAAAATTCTAAAATGATCTGGTGGAATCACCCTCACTAACAGGGCAAACCAGTCACCGATTCCCACCAACAGCGAGATTCCACTGTCTTAGCAAAATTTTTGACTTCAGATATTGCACTTACAATAAGCACATTACCTCATTTCAACAGAAACTGAATTTAATAGCCATCCACACTCGAAGACCTCTTCATATAAACACTGGAACCCTTCCCACCCAAAACACTGTGGATGCGGATATTTCCCCCCCCCACCAGTTCAGGTGCCAAGCCAGGACTGTTAAGCCCCTAGGGACATCCTCACGGCGAAAGGTGCTGTGTAAATATAAAGTTGTATTGTGGTGAGACACTTCACCTGATCGGCCTCAGACGTCAGCGATTCCAACTGGCCTTCGAGCCGCATTTTCTCCTTTAGAATCTGCATCACGTCATCGTGGGTCCCCAGCAACGAGCTTCCCACAGAGACACTGGAGAGACAATCACAACACAGCACATTGAACAGACAGGACACCCAGCCCTCCAGCGCTTTGCTCCCCTGCAATGTCTGCTCAAGAAAAGGTAAAGTCATCGATTTCCGTGTGGTGGTGGGGGGGGAAACAGTCACAATAAATAATACTAAGGAAAAATCATTTCTCCCACAAAATAAGCAGTTGATCCACTTTACAGTATAGCCTGTGAGGCGCTTTGAGATGTCTCAACAACGTGATAAGGCGCTGTGGCAAATGCAACGATTAATATTAAAATCTAATATTTATTATTATTAATTATTATAGTTACCTGCTGGAAATGCTGTCTCTGCGGCTGCGGACCTCCCCATTCAGCCCCTGGTCCTCACTCTGCTGCTCTTCTGCTGCGGCTTTCAGCACCTCCCCGATAGAGGGAAACTGCCCCAGAGCCTCAGCTGAGATCTCTCGCCCATCAACAGTGTACACGGCCTTCAGCCTGGAGTCCACTGAGAGTAGAGAAACAGGAGGGCCCGAGGTGATCTCATAACCTTCAGCTTCGCTATCATCCTGCCGCGACCCTGCCTCGCTGCCGTCCACTTCAGAACTGCTGTCCTCCACATTGGACAGAGTCTCCAATCTGTCCTTGTTGTCCAGTGTGAAACCCATTTGGGAAATCACTGAGGTGGAGGAGCCAGTCCTGTTCTGCTGAAGGGTTCCTGATGAGCTCTCCACACTGGATGTCCCACCTGCCCCACTCCCGGGCTCCGAGACCTCAGTTTTGTAATCTGCCAGTGAGCGGATTTTGCTGGATTTGGAATTCTTTATAGCTCTGGATGTGGTGAGGACTCCCAGGCTCCCCACCTTGGGCCCTCGTGGGACACTGGTCCTCATAAAGGAGTATTCCTTAGTCAGAGCCAAAGTACTGGCACGTGGCAGGATTTCCGGATGGAACATCAGCTCTGGGTCCAAAGTGCTGGTGGGACGATGTTTTGGCGTTGATTGCTTAGACTGGAAAATAAGGACAACACACCAATCAGAATGGTTTGAGCATCAAGGAGATAGCAATGAGACCAAACACCTGCCTGCCTTCTCTTTTAAGGAGTAAAAAAAAGGTCTCTGGGGAAGAATCTTTTTAAAAAGGGGAATGGAAATGGGGAATAAGAGATCTGGGGCCTGGAAAAGGTGAGGCCTTGAGGGCATGCTAAAGATGGGGCTGGGAATAACCCAAAAGGTGTGGACTTACTGAGCCAAATAACTTTTAACTTTTCCCATTTTTAAAAAAAAACTCTCCCCCCGGCTCGGTGTTTTATATGATAAGAATCAGTAAGGTACAATGGGTAAAGGAGGGTTTGAAAATAGAGAAGTTGCTGTTGGTGTAAAGACGAATAACCGATTGAGTCGAGACGTTCTCTTATTTCCAGTCCTTCCCTTCCACACCGTGTTCACACACACAACCAGGTTCCACTTACCCTCTCCTGGTGACGTTCCACTCTGTACTGTTTCAGCTGCTCCTCAAGTCGCCGTCGAGCATGCCGGCGGATCTGTTCTTCGTTTTCTTCCCTCAAGGGCGGGTCCACAACGCCTGAGGAGAAACCATAATCTTCATCAGCAGTTTACAGCCATCGATAGTGACCTCCTGGCAACCCATCAGGAGGTACAGCTGAGAATTACAGTGAGAGACCTTGGTCTGTTTCTACAACAGCAAGCCAAAGAGGGAATGTGAAACGGTTCTTTTCTTGAGCTCACAACACGTCAACCACAAACCGTTCCCATGAAATGTTTAACACATTTAATCCTCTCTAAACTGGCATGGTCTGAGTAAACAGAAGTGATATTTTACACAAGATTTTCAACAACAACAACCAATTACATTTGTATCGCGCCTTTCATGTTGGGAGGACATGACGAGGCACTCAACAACAAATGCAATGAAATTTCAGCTCTCCGAGACGTGATCTGCGTGAAGGGCGCTGTACAAATGCAAGCAAGTTATTGTTGAAATGTATTCTTGTCTTTAGCCTCTCAGCAATGCCTGCCTGCAACCAGCACATTTCCTTGTTGAACTGGATTCACACGATGGGTTGAGGAACAAGGTGAAACTGTAACCCCACTTCCCCAGCAAACACCAGGCTACAATATTCAACAAAGACTCGATAAAAGCAAGCAGAGAGACCTGCACTTCTGCAGACAAAATGCAGGCTATTTGCGCAGAGATTAAGTGAGCACAGCAAAAGAAGTCATGGATTTGTTAAGTAGTATATTTTCAGCCAAGGACAGTAGACACTGTCCATCGTTATAGACTCCCAGCAACAGCAGTTAGTTTGCCAAGTCTTTCAATAAGGTGTTAGACAAATATCTAGATTTGATTAAGACCAAAGGTTAGAGATAGATGATCAAATACTGTACTCCATGGGAAACAATGATTTGTGAACGAAAGGCATTAAAGGGCGTCATGTGTTCAAGGTCACAGCACATGCACAGTCAAGAGAGAGAGAGAGAGAGAGAGAGAATGGCAGGGAAAATCGGCAGCTTGAGCAATTATACAGTAGGAGCAAAAACAACTTGGATTTATATAGCGCCCTTCACGCCGGACGGCGTCTCAGAGCGCTTATTTTTGGCAAGGAGAAAGGTTGGATACTAATAATAATCCTTGAATTTGATATAGTGCCTTATTACGTCTCAAAGCTCTTCAGAGAATATACTGTAAAGTGAATTATCTTTAATTTTGTGGGTGAAGCATGGCAGCCAATTGCGTTAAGCAATATCCCACAAACAGTCGTGGATTGAGTGACCACATTTTATCTTTTGGGGAGGGAGGGGATTATAAACCCCAGAAAAAAGCAATCCTCCAATCGACTAACAACTGGATTCCTAATTACTGCTAGATAAACAGAGGAGTGTGTGCGGAGTCAGGAAACCTGCCTAAGGAGAAAGAAGATGATGGAAGGGACATCACTATAAAGAAATGCTTACACATGTCCGTCTCTTGTAAAGGAAGGCTTAGCCTGAGCGACTGCAAAGCTTCACATTTGGGAACATACAGCTTAGATATCGGCCCCTGAGACGACTGAGAGGTGTCGTGGGAAGCCAGCTCTGCTCTGCTCTCTGGGGGCTGAGGTTCTGGTGAGTGAGAGACAGCCTGGGCAATGTCAGAGGGCCCCGCGGAGCCTAATACAGACTTCGCTCCATTCTGACAACCGTCTCCTTCACCACCAACACCAACACGGGAACACTGCTGGTCAATCTTGCCCTCATCTCTGCCTGAGATACTGCTGGGATTGTTGTCCATGGCTGGTCCACTCTTTGGAGGTTTACCAGTACTGTTCTCATAGGCACCTATGAAAAATGAAGCACAGTTTAGCCACGAGCAACACCCTATTTCTAGGCCTTAAAAATTCAACACAAGCAAAATCCTAGGCTTCGTTTTGCTGGATAGAACATGTGAAGTCGAGTTTCAGTCACTGGGGTAATTCTAGGATTCACCGAGCCAGTGTAAGCATCACTATCACAGAGCGAGAGAAAGAGATCTAACAAGCCCAGAGCGCAACTAATTAGTGGAAATACTGTTCTATAAATGACAAACAACTGGGGACAAGACGGTATTTTAGACATCTTCAAATATCTCTAATTGCAACTCTCCTCAGTGACTGGGTTCAGTTTATCCAGTGTGAAACAGGCGGAGCCACACAAACTGGGAAAGTAGACTTTTCAACCCACCCTGGGCCGAGTCAGCTGATTGCAGCAGTAGCAGAAATCAGTTTCAGTGCCTTCGACTGGAGGACAAATCAGTCTTCACTGAGATAGTGGGAGACTTAACACACAGACAAGACAGTCTGACAGTCTCTATTCCTAGCACTGATAATCTCCCGTTTGTCAAATGAAACTTAGAAATACCTTTACTGCTCAACACACCTCCCGAGCGTGACTCAGCAAAACATACCCAGAGGCCAGAGAGGGATTGTGCGATAAGCAAAACAGTTGTGCCATCAGTCTAACCGGTTTGTCCCCCCCGCACTTAAAGGTTAATACTGCAAACAGCCAAACTCAGCACAGAGCAAAACACAGCGCCAGATTGCGAGCAAGAAATAAATATAAGTGGAGAAATCAGTCAGGTGATGTGCAAGCTTAATGATGTGATTCTGAAGTGCCAATCTGTCGAGAAAACCTTTAGAGTATATAGAAATCCTTGATACCACAAATAGCAGTCCTAACTTTATCTCAGTTTTGGTTATAAACAGGGCGAAACCTTAGGCAAGTTTCCTTACTCCACACATGCACCTCTGTTTACCTAGCAACAAGTAAGAACCTGGTTGTTAATCGATTTAAAAAAAATTATTTGGTCACTCAATCCACAACTGTGTGTGGGACACTGTCGCGGTTTGCCTATAAAATACACAGTTAAACCATGCTTCTCTGAAGCGTTGAGACGTCTCAAAGACGTGATAAAGCACAATATCAAATGCAAGGATTGTTATTACATTATAAAGGACTGTGCCCCAGCTCTTCTCAAGGTTTTCCCTCTACGAAAGCTCCTCGACCTCAGAAGTCAATTCAGGCTGCAGCCCAATGCCGTGCCATCTACAACACAATTTATGTTAACAGTAACAAAGGACTCTGGATTATGTATTCTGCTGTTGTGGAGATCAGGAAGTCTGCTACAGTCACTCAGAGATGTGCGACTAGTCATTAATCAACGTGACCACTGCACCATATCATCCAACACCAGCTGATTTCCTTTCCTCCGATAAATACCAGGCACTTGCCAAAGGTCACAGAAAGCTTCATAATGTTGGTTTCTGGAAATCTGAATTCCCCGCATCCTCCCCCACGCTCCCCCCCTCGGTAAGACGGCTGACAATATTCCCTGGAATTGGTCACTGAAGTTTTCTAATTAAATGAGGAAATGAAATTTGGAAACGTTATAGTGAAGCTGTAAAAATACATTCCCCAGTGAAGATACGGTCTTTCTGGGACACATCCCCCAGCAAACCAGCTGGCCTCGACCATGCTGTTGGCTTGATCCTCATCAGTGACTACAGGCTAACTGACCCCACCCTCATCACACAGGGATCACTGATGGATCCTGGTCCGTCACCTAAAAGCTCTGTTCGCTTCCCGAGCTCAGGAGCACAGAGATAAAAAAAACCCTAATTGGTCACTGCTTGTGGGACACTGCTGTGCGCAATTGGCTCCCGAGTTTCACCCAAAAAGTACACAGTCAATTCACTTTATAATATATTCTAGTGAAGCGCTTTGAGACGTTTCAATGACCTGATAAGGCACTACATCAAATGCAAGAATTATTATTATAATTAGTATAAAGAGTATTCGGAGGTTCTTGATGGTCGTTGAGTCTGCAATCTAGAAATACACCTCATACTTCTGAACGTTTGTTTCTCCCCCTTGTGTCATTTCTAAAGGGAAAACAGCAGCACTACGCACACACACAGCCATCACAACAATGTGTGTGGCATCCTGTTCTACAAAGAAAGACATACGCCATTTATCAACTGGGATTCTTAAATCTGAGGCTGGTAAAACTCAAAAGAAAACACAACCCATCAAGTAATAACAAATTACATTAGCACAGCGCCTATCACGTGAACAGGCAGGGATTTGGACCCGAGCTGGGGGTTGGGATCAGGAAGGGCGGAGGGCAGGGAGGAGAGGAGGGTGACTGAAGGTGCGGTCGAAGAGGAGGGTCTTGAGATGTGACTCGCAGCAGGCAAGGGAGGGAGCGAGGCCGAGGGACTGTGGGATGGGGACAGAGAGGCTGAAGGCCCGACCTCCAACAGTGGCGGACCGGACCGGGCGGGGGATATGGAGCAGGATGGAGCCTGCAATCTCTAGCTTTCCTCTCTCAGTAATGTGGGGAAAGTTTTTTCTGGGGGGAGAGAGAATTTAACTACTCAAGGAGTACTTTACCATTCATCACAGGCTCTGTGGTAGATGCCCTGGGCCCGGCTGCGTCAGTGGGAAGCTGGTCTGTATTCCCGTTCGGTATGTTCTCCAACAGGACTGCCTGACCATGGGTCGGGGTTTCCATCATTCCACGACGTTGGGAAGCGGACAGTAATTATACAGTAAAGGTCTTCTCGCAACGAGCCATTAAACAGACATAAAGAAGCTTCAGGAAACCGGGCCAATTCTGAAACCTGGCACCATGATCCGACTGTTGAGCTTCCAAGTTGCGGGTTTTTAACAGGCAGATTCCAGCACGTCAGGCAGGGGCTGAGTGAGTCAGCGCTAGCAAGGCCATCACTGAGACACCACAATCTCTGTAAAACAGCACAATAACTTAATGAGTACTTACAACATTAGAGATTAGATTCACTTGTCAAATAAAACTATGTAACAAGAAAACAATAGGAAGCTAAGTGGTCCACAATGCAAACATGCAGGACAGGACTAGTTACAAAGGAAGAGGAGTAGGCCATTCAGCCCCTTGAGCCTATTTCGACATCCTATTAGATCATAATAATAATAATCTTTGCATTTGATACAACACTTTTCACGTCTTCTCGACGTCTCAAAGCGCTTCACAGAATAGACTGTGAAGTGAACTGACTGTATATTTGTGGGTGAACTGCGGCAGCCAATTGCGTACAGCAGTGTCCCACAAACAGTCGTGGATCGAAATGACCAATTTATTTTGAGGGATTATTATCAGGCGTGTGGAGTAAGGGAACTTGCCCAAGGTTTCGACCTGCTGGGAATCGAACCCGGGTCTCTCGCTTGCAATGCGAGTGCTCTAACCACTGAGCCACAGGACTCCAAGTACAATTGATCTATACCTCAACTCAAAATACCCTCCTTTACCCCATATCCCTTGATACCCTGACCTAACAAACATCTATCCACCTCAGCCTTAAAATGTGAATCGATCTAGCCATTATCCACAGCCTTTTAGGGGGAGAGAGAGAGAGAAAGTTCCAAAGTTGGGGCAAATGATCTGTTTCCACGCTGTGTGTAATGTACTAGGAATACTCCCAGAGTGTGTAACTTGCCCAGATGTTTCGTTTAAAATAATCCTCCTTCACTGACCCACTTAGAATACCAAGGCCTGTCTGTATTCCAGCAAAATGCTGGTGAAACAGTTCATCTGCTGTTGTTTGTTTATTTTTCCAAAAATTCTCCTCCAAATACAAGCGACGAGAATCTTAAAATAGCAAATAGCGTCAACCAATATTTCCATTCAATATCCATTTAATTTCCATGTATGTTAAACTGGTACAAACTACCCTAGTGCATTGAACAACAACTTAGAATACCTGCTCTTGACACGCGAGAAAACTAACCTTATTAAAATGATAACATTTTACAGTAAAATCAAGCAAACCCACACATCCAACAGAGCAGGAATGATACTTGCATAATTCCCAGTCACCCATCATTTGCTCACGTCTCAGATAAGCTTCCATCATATAATGATAGCCCTGAAGACACCACTGATACACATCTACATTTCAAAATGATCAGAAGCTTCAGGGTTACATTTGTAGTGTTATATAATAATAATCCTTGCATTTGATATAGCGCTTTTCACGTCTTCTCGACATCTCAAAGCGCTTCACAGAATAGACTGTAAATTTGTGGGCGATTAGTTCGCAATCCCCGCCTCTCTCATCTCCTCTCTGCTCTTAAGCACAAATCCTTAACAGCTAACATTGCGTTCCATCACCTGTACTCTGTGACCTGTAAAACCAACCACGCTATTCGATTTTCTTATGACTATGAAAAATAATTTGCTGCAGGTATGACATGCCCACACTCTGCCCACCTGCATGACTGCAGTTATGGCACATTATTGGATAACACTCTTTTCTTTTGATCATCGGCTTATATCAAATCACTGTGCAAAGCTTTTAGACCATCTCACTGAGTCACTGTTGAATTTGGTATTCCAAGAACGTCAAAGGACATGGCACAGTGAAAAAACGTTTTATTGTGCTCAGTACATCATTTCAGAAGGTAACATAGACATTGTTTGAAAAGGATTCCACATAATTAGTGTTTATATTAAATAGCCAATGCAGATAAGCAGCATTGACAACCAGAGAAGGCTTGATTGATACGACAGACCAGCTGGATTCAATGGGAAGGAAGGAATCGTTACCAGCTCATCACGATAGCCTTTCCAAAAGACATCACTCTGAACATTGCTCCCAATAAGCAAACATGGAAGCAATCTGAATGATCCTTCCCACCTCCAAATTTTGATCCCAATTATCCTGACTTAGTATCCCAGTCAACCAAAGATTTTCTGAAACAATAATTGCAGTCACCGAAATATTACATTAAATTGCAAATTAATCTTGTTATTAAATCCTGAAGGAAACCAAACCTGCATTTATACCCAAGCAACATGTTATTATCCAATTTTAAAGAGATCAATGTCATCAATGTCTTTAGGCAGTTTTTTTTACTCAAAATCTCAAACAAGATTCTACAATACTGTGTATACACAAGGCAGTCCTCAGTACTCAATGCTGTCTGCTAGAGAAGACAATGAAGCCTCCGTGTCCTTACATGTCCTTAACCCCACAGGCCAAAGCCTCAACAAGTTAGTTAGGCAGTCTTCCAAAATCAGTTTACCCAGATGCTAATTACTGGCCCACAGAGATCTGAATCAACACAAACAATAATCTAGCCTCGCTGTTTCATTATTACCACTCTCCTTTCGGGTTTAAATAATTAAACACAGCAAACTGGCATCGCTGCTTTCAGACAGCACTCAGGATCAATAAAAGCCTGGTGTAAAGTTACCAGGAAGTAACATAAATAGGGATGGGAATCTTTGTCAATCATCACCACTGAGGCAATAAAGAGCTTTCATTCAGACTGCAGTCGCCTCTCAGTAAGCAAACATAAACACACAGGCCCAGGATATGTAAAAGTAATCAGTACAATCGTAAGTGTACACTGCACAAAATACATATCCTTAACCCCACAGGCCAAAGCCTCAACAAGTTAGTTAGGCAGTCCTCCAATATTTGATACCAACCACAAATAGTTTGCGTGCTTCGCATTGATAAATTACACTTACAATCATTAGACACTGAAGGAAGAACTCAACGTACCGTTTGCTTTACATTAAAAGTTACTGGATGTAAAGAATGTTTGATCATTAAGTTTGTTCAATGACGATACCCAACAATATTAAAGCACTACTTATAGCATTGGAAACTCCACAATACACAGACAAGGTAGAGAAAAGATTGCCATTTGCTCTTACGAACAGTTCAGACATCGTGCTTTACTCAAACACTATTTCACACTTTACAAACAAGAAACCATTAGCTGTGGTAGGGGGGGGGGTTTAGCTGTGGTGGGGGTTAGCTGTGGGGGGGGGTAGCTGTGGGGGGGGGTTAGCTGTGGGGGGGGTTAGCTGTGGGGGGGGGTTAGCTGTGGGGGGGGGGGTTAGCTGTGGGGGGGTTAGCTGTGGGGGGGGGTAGCTGTGGGGGGGGGGTAGCTGTGGGTGGGGGGGGTAGCTGTGTGGGGGGGGGGTAGCTGTGGGGGTTTAGTGGGTTAGACTCCAGCAGTTACACTGGTCTCCCCCCTCCCCTCCCCGAGCCCTGACTCTGCCAATCTGCGCCCTAATACTTTCCAGAATTAGGTAACGGTCTCCACCGCTTTGGCCGCACATTCCACACACAACAGCATTTTCTCTGAGGAAGAACATTCCTCTAAACGCAGACACTCCTCTCCCCACTCTCTGTCTCTCCGGATCTCAGGCCCTAATAACAACAACAACAATAACAACAATAATAATAACAATAGTCTTTGCTTTTGACACAAAGTCTCATCACGTCGTCGAGACTTCGCAAAGGGCTTCACAGGACCCACTGTCAAGTGTAGTGACTGTGTGTTTTGTGGGCCCGACAGCCTCTGCCCCGGGGGCTCGGTCTCTGTGTGGAGCCCCGGTCCCCGAGGCCGCGCCTCAGCCTCAGCCTCGGGAGGAGGGGGTGACAGGGAGGACACACACGGGGCTGTCGGGGCGGGAGGGCGGCGCGAGGCCGCGGCTCTTACCGTTGACAGCGGCGGCGGCGGACGTGGCTTATTGACTCCGCCGCCGCTTTCCTTCCCCCGGCGCCGGGCCCGACCCCCAAACGGCCGCCCCGCTGAGCCCCGCGGGGTTTGTGCCCGTGGGGGGGGGGGGAGAGAGAGAAGCCTCAGCTCTCCCTCTTTCCCTCTCTCTCTCTCTTCGTGCCGTTGGCACTCGGGTTTATTTTTATTTAGTTTTGTTACAAACAGAAACGTTCCGCCCTCTCGATCCCGATCTCGCGCGGACCGACTTGACTGACCGGAAGCGACCGTCAACCCGACTCCCCCGACAGCGACGGACCTTCCGGTGCAAGGCCCGCGTGAGGAGGGTCACGTGACAAGGGCCGCCGGTGGGGGGTCACGTGACGAGGGTTGGTGGGGGGGCGGGGCCTGAGAGAGTGACAGGTGGCCCTGGAGACCCCACACACAGTGACTCAAATCCCTTTGGTTGAAGAACCTGGACCTCCATCTCAGTGTTGTTGTTGTTATTATTAATAATTATTATAATGATAATGTTTGCTTTGTGGGCAAAAATACCACTCAATTCACTTTGTGGCGTGTTTGAGACCTCTCGAATAATAATAATAATAATAATCCTTGCATTTGATATAGTGCTTTTCACGTCGGGAGGACGTCCCAAAGCGCTTCACAGAACACACTGTAAAGTGAATTGACTGTATATTTGTGGGCGAACGCGGCAGCCAATTGCGCACAGCAATGTCCCACAAACAGTCGTGGATTGAAAATGACCAATTTATTATTGTTTTTGGTTTTTGGAGGGATTATTATTAGGCGTGTCACGATAGGGCAAGCTGACTCATCAAGGGCAAGGATTATTCTTATTATTATTATTACTTGGCGAACGACGACAACAAATTGCATTTGTGCAACGCCCTTCACAGCAGGAGGACGTCATATTAGAAGGGAGACTAAAGGCCCGATCGAAGAGGAGGGCCTTGAGATGGCGGTGGCTTACGCGGTGGTGCTCGCTCCCGCGCCGTCCAGACGTCACAAGGCGCTTCACCGCATATAACGGAAAGTGAATTCACGGTGCATTTTGTGGGATAAATTGCTCACCAAAAAAAGTCACCTTTAATTCCTTTTAAGATCTCAGCTTGCTTACCTGCCCTTAGTCCAGCAGAGGACGCTGATTCCTCCCTTTATCTGGTGAGGGCTTGGATGCCAGGACTGGGATCTTTCCTGGTCCTCTCCACGGAGAGTTACCAAGTAACTTACGCTTTATTTCTTGTTCTGAGGTTAAACGTTTCCCGGACTCCGAGCCAGAACTGGTATGTTCCCATCGAGGCCTTCTGATCCCCACTATCTTGTCTTCGTCTCACCTGGCTCCGTGTTTCACACCATCCAATGTAAAACGCTCGGAGACGGCTTTCTTGCAGGAAAAGCTTTGGTATAAATGAAGTTGTCATTGCCCGGGCAGGTCAGGGCGAAACCTTACTCCACGCGCCTCTGGTTAACCAGCAGTAAGTAGGAAGCCGGTTGTTAGTTAATTGGCGGATTGCTTTCCAGGAGTAATAATTTGGTCGCTCCATCCACGACTGTTTGTGGGGACGCTGCTGTGCGTAATTGGCTGACAGGTTTCGCCTACAAAGCACACAGTCAATTCACTTTACAGCATATTCTGTGAAGCGCTTTAGACGTCTCAACGACGTGACAAGGCTCTGTATCAAATGCACGGATTACTATTATAAATGCCCTCTCAATCGACTCTCCATCAGCCTCTCTAACAACCCATGGGAGAAATGGTTTTTTTTTGGGAGGTGAGTGAGTGGGATGTTTTATTCCAATTTTTTTTCCCCCAATTAAATCGCACCCTCGGGTTGTTTTGCTGTGGGTGGGTGTCTCTTGCAGCAGTCTGTGTTGCGAAGACGATGTCAAGGTCGGTCAAGTGCAAAATCCCTGAAAAAAAAGATTGTAAACAACATCGAGTGCCTTGTGGTCTGAAGCAACAATACACAGGAATAGGTTACACTGTGTTACACACACACACACACACAGCGGGTTACAGCTCTCACTCACAGACACACACAGGAGCGAACGCCACAAATAAAGTGATAAAGTGAGACTCGACCAAACTGAGAGAGAGGGAGAGGGAGAGGGAGAGAGAGAGAGTGCACAAGCGACGATGTTTGTTTGCTTCCCAAAACAGCCTGTGAGCTGGGGTTGGAGAGAGAGAGAGTGAGAGAGGAGGGGGGGGGGCAGTCTGATTTCCTGATGTAAAAGCAGATTAGTGTCATTGCTTCCAGCGGCAGGGAATCCTGGCTGCCCTGTGGGGGGGTGTGGGGGAGAGAGAGAGAGTATCTCCATCCCTCCCTCCCTCCCTCCCTCTCCCTACAGGTGTTGCAGTGAGAGAGTGAGTGAGAGAGTGAGTGAGTGTGTGATTGAGTGAGAGTGAGTGTGTGAGTGAGAGAGAGAGTGTGTGAGTGAGTGAGTGTGAGTGAGAGAGTGTGTGAGTGAGTGAGAGAGTGAGTGAGAGAGTGAGTGAGTGTGTGATTGAGTGAGAGTGAGTGTGTGAGTGAGAGAGTGAGTGTGTGAGTGAGAGAGAGAGTGTGTGAGTGAGTGAGTGTGAGTGAGAGAGTGTGTGAGTGTGTGAGTGAGTGTGTGAGTGAGTGAGAGAGTGTGTGAGTGAGAGAGTGTGTGAGTGAGTGATTGAGTGAGTGAGTGAGTGTGTGAGTGAGTGAGTGAGAGAGTGTGTGAGTGATTGAGTGAGTGAGTGAGTGAGTGAGAGAGGGAGGGAGGGAGGGAGGATGGGGGAGAGCTCTGATGGCAGAGTGTTGGTGACACTCACTTTTCTGGTAACTTGTACCGTGTGGATCAGTGAGAGCGCATCTCAGAGGGTAAGTGCTGTGTGAAGACCGTCAGCTCTGTCCTTTCCAGTCTGACTCACATTCATTTTCAAGACCAGACGTTTCTCTCTCTCTGTCTCTCTCTCTCTGTCTCTCTCTCTATCTGTATATGTTTAGACGTGTAACATAGCAGTAAAATTCTCAATCCTTTGGTGGTAATTTTCACGTTTGTATAAATGATTTTACAAAGCGTTTTCCCTAACCCTAAAACAGACGGTTTCGTGCCATTATATATAGAGATATATTCATACTGTATATATATATATTGCTTTTATATAAAAAACACAGCTGGATTGTGGCAGGAACACTGTGTTATAAGTCCATGAGGAAATAGACTTGTATTTACAATTTGTGTTGTTGGGGGGAGAACAATATACTAATTTGAACTGGTGAAGTAATCCCAGATTTTTTTAGAACAAGATTTCAGATCAGAACTCGCTGTGTAAATCTGTGTGTGATTTTATTGTAAAATGTTTTTCAAGAATTCTAGTCATGCAGGTGATTTGGCAGATCGTTTTCTGGGGGTAACAATCCTTCCAAAAATAAATATGTATAATAATAATTTGGTCACTCAGCCCACGACTGTTTGTGGGGACGCTGCTGTGCGCAATTGGGCTGCTGTGTTTTACCCACAAAATATACAGTCACTACACTTTACAGTATAGTCTGTGAAGCGCTTCGAGACGTCTCAAAGACGTGATAAGGCGCTATATCAAATGCAAGGATTATTACCCAGGCTTTGACCATGGTAAAATAAATCACTTTATCAGTACAACATTGTGGGGAAAATGACGATAGATCTTAAATATGCAATGTGGAAATAATAATAATAATAATAATCCTTGCATTTGATTTAGCGCTTTTCACGTCGGGAGGACGTCCCAAAGCGCTTCACAGAACACACTGTAAAGTGAATTGACTGTATATTTGTGGGCGAACGCACAAATGCGCAAACATTCTCCAAAGTAACAACTGGAAATCTGGGCAAGTTCCTTTCTTTTTAGTTAAATTACATTTGTTAATTTTTGAGGCTTTTTTTGGGGGGGGTGAAGATTTTTCTTACCATCCTCACTTTGACCAACCAAGACGTGTATATATAAAATAATAATAATTACCTCCTCGATTTGCCAAGGTCTGTTTCAGTATGTGTAAGCTGTGAGTCAGGCACACACACACACAGACTGCCTGCGATTCGTGACTGCTTTGTAATGAACACACTTCACCAGAGCATTTTACAAAGCATTATTCCTAACACTGTTTTGTGCCACATGTATATATTTCGCCCACAAAATACAGTCAATTCATTTTACAATATATTATTCCGTGAAGCGCTTTAAGACGTCTCTAAGACGTGATAAGGCGCTGTATCAAATGCAAGGATTAGTGTTATAATTATATATATATAAAAAAAGCATGTGTGGGTTTCCTTCTCCCTCCTTTTCTGTTTAAAAAAAACACACAAAATCAAAGGAGCTCCTGTAAGGAACACAATATTGATGACCCTTTGCTGGTCGCTTGTGTTTGGGTCGCTGTGGTGCTGGAGTGCAGTGTATTAACCTCGGCTGCCCGACTGAGTGGGATAAGTGTGGTCTCTGTTCCCAGACTGAATTAGCAGCGAGTGAGTGAATGAGCAGTGACTGTCCCCGGGGTGATCGGCAGTGAGGGTGGGGAGCTGAGTGCTGGGGCTCCCAGCGCGCTGGCTCTCTCCTCTCCTTGCTTGTCGTGTTGTTTTAACTCCTAAAGGCTCCACACGTGGAGCTATTGACATCACGAGTAAATGATGCCAGGGCTCTGAAAATAACCCACAGCTGTGTCTGACAGCCTGATTTATAACCCTCCCTCCCCTCAGATAGGGCCCTCTTCCCAGCAATGTTATTCAGCTGGATTTTACAGACAAAATACACGATTTACAGACAAACAAAAATAAATTGATGGAATTCAGTCCTGAAGATTAGTGGTTAGAGCGCTCGCCTTGCAAGCGAGAGGACCCGGGTTCGATTCCCGGGTAAGTCAAGGCGAAATCTTCTTTACTCCACACACACACATGCCTGTGTTTACCAGCAGTAAGTGGGAACTGGTTGTTAGTCGATTGGCAGATTGCTTTCCGGGGGTAATAATCTCTCAAAAAAATTAATAAATAATAATAATTTGCCCTCACACCCTCCACCCCACCATTGGAGGTCATGCTTTTAGCCACCAAAACCCTGGAACACTCTCCCTCAATCCCTCTGTTTTGCCCTCTCTCATCCTTTTTTCAAGTCCCACCTGAAAACTTTCCTCTTCGACCGTGCTTACAGCCACCTCCCCCCGGCTCGGAGTCAGGCTCCGCCACTGTTAAGCGCTCTGGGACGCTACTCTGCATGGAAGGCGCTATATAAGTGCAAGTTATTGTTGTTGTAGTCACTTGATCCACAGCTGTTTGTGGGACGTTGTTGTTCACAATTGGCTGCTGCGTTTCTTCCACAAAATATACAGTTAATTCTGTGAAGCGAGTTGAGATGTCTTGAAGACGTGATAAGGCGCTATATCAAATGCAAGGATTATTATTATTATTACAGTATTTCTCTGGATCAGTTAAATCTCAACTCTGGGCCATCATCAATATCAGGCCGTTGCTCCCAGCAGGTCCCACACACAGCAATATCTGTGGATCAATGAAGACAGAAGATACAACTCGCTTCCAGTGACTCATGAACGGGGGGAACTTTCCTCGGTTTCCCTCTGAGATTGAGACCTGCTGCTGTATCAATAATAATAATAATAATCCTTGCATTTGATATAGCGCTTTTCACGTCTTCTCGACGTCCCAAAGCGCTTCACAGAACACACTGTAAAGTGAATTGACTGTATATTTGTGGGCGAACGCGGCAGCCAATTGCGCACAACAATGTCCCACAAACAGTCGTAGATTGAAAATGACCAATTTATTATTGTTTTTGGTTTTGGAGGGATTATTATTAGGCTCTGTGTGGAGTAAGGAAACTTGCCCAAGGTTTCGCCCTCTGCCTGGAATTGAACTCAGGTCTCTCACTTGCAAAGCGAGTGCTCTAACCACTGAGCTACAGGACTCCACAGAATCAATAATGAAATGGGCAAGACAAGAGGAAACCCTTCCTGCAGCGTCATTCATTATTGGCTGCCTCAACGACACAGCCAAATAAATGTCTTCCACTCTCAAACAGTGGCCATGTTTGCTCTCTCTCCCTTTTCCTCATCATGATGGCGTTTCCTCCCCCACTGGAGCTATCTGCTAATCCCCTTATCTTTTACAAAAGTCACTAAAGTGCATTGTAAGAGCCAGCCTGACCCCTGCCTGCCCCGGCTGAGATCAGGTAACTGCCAAAGCCCTGCATTGACCCTGCAACTCTCTGACCTGTTCGGTTTACGTGCTGCACTATCCTGGGTGTTGGCCCTAACTATCGGAGGGAGCTAAGAACCTCAATGACTTGGAGGGTGACTGACCCCCTTTACCCCCCCCCCCCAGACTGCGTAAGTCCACATGAGACATTGCCAAGTTCTCACCACACCACATACCAGATTTGCTCTTCTATGACCTTGGCAGTGTGTAAAGAGCACAAGTGATTTTTTTTCCGTGGAAACAAACCTGTTTTAAACAACGTGTTTTTTTCCTCTGATCTTTGCTGGTCTGTGCACGCAGCGGGGGTAGGGAGGAGGGGAGGGGTTGGGCTTGTAGAGTATTGTTTGAACAGTAATTGCAGCTCAAGGTGTGAAAAGGCTTTGATCCAAGTTATTTCATGGCCTTTAAAATCCAGTTTACTTACTGAACAAACTTTACCATCGTGGAGTCCTGTAGCGTATTGGTTCGAGCACTCGCCTCACAAGCAAGAGGATCCGGGTTCGATTCCCAAGCAAGTTTCCTTACTCCTCATGCCTCTGTTTACCTAACATGAAGTAGGAACGTGTTTGTTAGTTAATTGGTGGATCACTTTTCCGGGGGTAATAATACCTCCCAAAAATAAATGAAAAAATAACAATTTGGACACTCGATCCACAACTGTTTGTGGGTCAACTCTGTGCGCAATTGGCTGCCGTGCTTTGCCCACAAAATATACAGTCACTACACTTTACAGTATATTCTGTGAAGTGCTTTGAGACGTCTCGAAGCCGTGATATCAAATACAAGGATTTTTATTATCATTATTATCATTGGAATCAGATTCCCTCCCAGCCAAATACCCTGTTCAGGGAGTTGTCATCTGAGCTAAATCCCAAAGGGCAGCTGGTATCAGGACAGGACAGGGAGAGGGAGAGCGAGAGAGGGAGAGCGAGCGAGGGAAGGAGGGAGGGCAAAGGAAAAGAGGTTGAGAGCAATCCGTTGTTCAAAAATGAGAACCAGACCAAATTGCTTAATTTACGTAACTTGTTTTCGAAATGTAAGAATCCTCCTTATTATCTCAGTCAGATCAGAGTGTACTACAATTGCTTGTTAAATCCAGGCCCTTTAATGTGGTGTCGAATGATTTAAATTACAACGGGGACTTTGAAGGATGCCTGGCGAGGCACCAAAGATTAAAGTTTGACAAAGCACAGCTGGTTCGAATTCTTGGGGAGAATTTCCTGCCAAATCTATCATATTACTGCACATGGGAGTCATAAGTTTTAAAATCATACATTCTCAAAGCACTTATGGTTTTGAATGTTTAAGGTGTATTTTGTAAAAGCAGGACAGAATTCCTGGCTGAGTTGCAGTCAAATTTCTCTCTTACGAATCCTATTTTCCATCTCATTATCTTCGAGAGAGATGCACACTCCGGGGTCCCCGAGCCTTGGCTCTTGCCAACCTGTGCCTAATACTCTCCTGGAATTAGGTAAGCAGGGGGCGTCCCTCCAGGGAGAGAGAGAGAGAGAGAGAGAGACGCATACTCTTCTAACAATCTATCCCTGGGATCCATGTGTAGGCGGGATGCATGGAAATCTCAGTTTGGCTTGGGATACTCTTAAGCACGGTGATGGGTTTCCATGTGTGTCAGACATTTGGTTGGGAAAAAAACATGGAGGGTGGGTGGGTGGGTGGGTTTTGGTCTACAGCCAATGTTCTGCCAAACTCAACCATCAACATAAAGGAAACAACAAGAAGTGACATTTACACAGCAGCACCTCTCACGTCAGGAAGATGTCCCAAGGCTCTGGACAGTCAGGGATTTACTGGGACCTCAGAATAAACCCACATGTGAGTGAGGAGGACTTCAGGCTAGTGGCCAAAAAGGCTCTGTTATTGACAGTAAACCACATACAGCTGTTCATTGTTTACCCACATAACAGTCACTGTACTTTACAGTATATCCTGTGAAGCGCCTTGGGACGTCCTCCCAACGTGAAAGTCTCTATACCAAATCTATGTATGATATTATCGATAGGCACCTTCAGAACATAATACTGTAATAAAGTAATCCTTGCATTTGATATACAGGATTGGCCAGCAGTAAGTAGGTTGTCAAGTCAATTGTCAGATTGCTTTCCGGGGGTAATAATCCCTCCAAAAAAATATTGGTCACTGTTTGTGGGTCACTGCTGATATATTTCACCCGCAAAACACACAGTCACTACACTTTACAATATATTCTGTGAAGCGCTTTGAGACGGATCAATGATGTGATAAGACGCTAAATCAAATGCAAGGATTATTATTGTTTTTAGTATTATTTGGGTAAGATGTTACAGAAACTGAGGGAGGGCAGAGGAGGGGAATAGTCAGTTTGCTGCTGATCTCATCACATTGATCTGTTTTCAGGTCTACTACTCGTGTGGGGCTGTAGTGGACTCCGACACCCAAGGTATCATCCTGTCTCCCGGCTTCCCCAACAACTATTCCCCAGGCACGCACTGCGTGTGGCAGTTCTTTATCCCAGCCGGAGCCCAGCTGCTGTTGGACGTGTTTGAGTTTGATGTGTTCGCGAGCCCGAGTGACGGGAGAATCCCTCTGGAAGACTTCCTGCCCTCCGCTGGCACCCACAGCCCACAGGCCGCTCTAGATTTGGCAGAGAATGGAGACGTGGAGGAGGAGAGCAGAGAGAGCAACCAGACCTCCTCCACCACCGTCGCTCACACTGCGAGAAAACCCACCCGAGGGGGGAAAATGAAGGTGTGGTTTAACCAGACCATCATGGATTCTAACTGGAAACCTTCAGGTGGGAACCGGCAGGAATTAGCCACGGCCAAATCCAACCGAAAGCTTGAGGACCAAGAGGTGGTGGTTCAGGAACAGTCCACAAAGCTGGAGATGGTCAAGACTTCAAAGCCACCATCCGATCATCTCTCAGTGACTGTTTCTCCCCTCGACGTTTTGGACATGAACGACTCTGTGAAGCCGATCTTGAGTTGGCCCTCGCCACATGCTGACATTAAAGGCGAAGACTTGGACCCCCGTCACAACAGCAAGAGACTGAGACCCCAGACCGACCACCTCCCCGAGGAGCAAGGCCAACAGGGTTTAAGTGACTCGACAGTGAGTGAGGTCGAGAGTTCAGTCACTCCACCTCCGTCTCTCGACGTCTGTCCCAACGACGTGCTGTACATCTCTGACCTGATCACCTTCTCCTCTCGCTTCTGTGGCTCAAACTCCCCCATGAATCAGACGCTGAGGTTCGGCTCCTCTCTGGAGATGATTGAGGTCGTCATGGAGTTAATCACCACCACCGATCGTGGCCGGGGCTTTGTACTGCTTTACCAGTTCCAAGCCATGGGAGGTGTTGATATTCACACGGTTATCAAACACGCAGACAGAGATAACCTAATACTCACTTCGGTGATTGGCGGGGCTGTTCTCTTCACTGTAGTCCTTCTCACCGTGCTCTGTCTCGCCCGCAGGTGAGTTTAAACTCTCTTTTGCCAACTGGATGTCCTCCCGACGTGAAAGGCCCTAGATAAATGCAAGTTGTTGTTGTTTGTTCTCCGAATGCTCAGGAGGGGGTAAGCACCTCTCAACTACAAACAGTACATTTCAAATGATGCAAAAAATCCATTCAGCTGGGTTTCAAAATGCCAGAGAATTTTGTCATAATATTTTAAGAGCTATTTTTTAACATGAATAAATTCCAGAAATTTTATTTGGCATGTCAATAGACTTTACATCTTGAATTACCGATTTTGCTCTATCTCTGCAAACCTTTCCTGTGATGGAAGAGGTGGCAAATATCATAGGATTGCTTTGATGTCCTACGAAGAGAAGCTCTGTTGTGTTTGAGCCTTGGTGCAAACTGGTGTAGTTACCTTACTTTATGTTTTCCTGTCTTAAATGTCAACAGAGGAGGCTGGTAACTTGTGTGGAGGCATAATGCCACATTGAAGGCTTTTACACCACACTCCTCACACTGTCAGCTTGGCTCACTGTCAGGCTCAAAGAGTTGTGGGTTCACACACACACATCCTCTGGACATAAACTCTTGTACTGAACACCATGAAGTACTTCTAAATACAATTATCATCATTGTTCCACACGTTTCAGTTGTTGGTCAATGCAATGTAGAGAAAACATACACACACACGGGAGTAAAAGGACTGTGTGTAGACCCTGTACTGAATCCCGACAGGACTGGGGGCTAAACCGGCTTGAGATGGCGTGTCACACCCGGTACTATATTGAGGACCAACCTCGGCCGATAACTATTTCCAGAATCCCAGTCATCTGATTCCTCCTGACATGTTATTGCTGGGATCATCAACAAATTCCCCCACTGAGAGACACACACACACACACAGCCAGCTCAAAGCTTGTCCATGTGACTATACAGTATGAGGCCAGAAGTTGTCTCACTTGTCAACAGCATCTCAGTGTCCTACGGTTTTGAAGGAAGTAGATAACCAGAGAGCAGATAGAATATTCGCCATAACAACAACAACAAATGACATTTACACAGCGCCTTGCATTTGGGGAGGAAAGTCCCGAGGAACTGGACAGTCAGAGATTTGTACCCGAGCTGGGGGTTGGGATCAGGAGGGGTGGGGGTAAGAGGGTGACCGAAGGCACGTTTGAAGAGAAGGGTCTTGAGACGTACCTTGAAGGAGGCGAGGGAGGGGACAAATGTGAGTGAGTATCTTGAAAAGGGGGGAAAGTAGGAAATTAAAAAATATAATCAAAAAAATGACAATTGAGACTCGAAGGAAGACAACATCTACCTATTGGGTTGGTATCATTGCTAAGAACGTACCCCTGACAGACTGTGACATTGTGACATCCCTCTCCCCCCATCGCCCCGAGACACACAGATCTTGCGGAGAGCAGGAATACAGAGTACTGTTCTCCTGAAATGAAGAGTCAGCAATATCTGCTGATGGCCGATTGATTTGGCGAATGCCAAATATTCTGGAGGGACTCCAAGTCTCTCTTTGTCTCTCTCTCTGCCTTTGCTGATTTGTTTACTCTTGCAGTTGAGAATGAAAGGCTTCAGTTGTTACTTGTACAGTAATGAAGCCTGAGCAGGGAGTTCCAGTCACTCAGTTGGATAATGTCACAAGTTACAATACGATGTTGTTAGGAGGAATGCCTGTTCTGTTCTATTCTCTTCGACGATCACTAAAGCGGTCAAATAAAGTGTTGTCTCAAAAAGGAGATTGCCTTGATCCCAGCGTAGATTGTGAACAAACTAATCCTTTCCTGTTGCAGAAGACTTTAGCTGCAAAATCCTGTTTCAAGCGTGAACTGTTCCCGATTACTGTAATACTCTGGAGACCAAATACACTCATTGCTCCTGTGAAGCGCCGCCCAATTAATCGTAACCAGTTTTAGAAATCAGCACGGTTGGTTTCTTCTCCTGCGTGATCTGTTTTCACTTGGTATTGAGTTACTAACCCACTTACAATCCCGGATTTGTAATATAATAATCCTTGCATTTGATATAGCACCTTATCGCATCGTCTAGACGTCTCAACGTGCTTCCCAGGATTTACTGTAAAGTGGACTGACGGTGTATTTGTGGGCAAAACGTCAAGGACACAGAATCCAACACTAGCACAGCACTGCCTCTGTTCTCTCTCCCCGACCTCAGCTCGGGTCTGAAATGCTGTACACTGTCCAGTACCTTGGCAGGTCCTCCCGACATGGAAGGCACTATATAAATGTAATCTTGTTGTTGTCGTTGTTGTTGTTGTCTCCCCACTTTACACCTGCTGACTCCAGCGTAGAAGAAACCGAATCCCGTTCTGATTACGACACACGGTTCGTGCTTTAACCCAACGGCCAATTTAGTCGATCATCCAGTTTAATATCCAAACAAATATTCTTTTAATCTGAACTCCAAGCCCTTCCATTTGTTGATGAAATTGTCATGAGATTTCAGTGTCAACTTGGAATGATTTCATTCAAACCAATTTTTGTTCATTTTGTTTGTGTTTCAGACAAAAGGTTTGTTCCAAAGGGATTTCCTCCCGAGGCCATGAGGTAAAGGTGCTTTGGGAACGATCGATCTTGCTGCAAAAAACCTGCTTTATTTTTGAAGCTTATGCTTTTTACACATATATATATATAAAGAAATTCTTAAACCCGCCACGAATCTTAGCAAACTTTCTGATCCCCAAATGGGAAGTAGACCTGTCAGCAGCTGACAGCTGGGTGTCGTCGGGACTTAGGAACAGGTGGAGCAGCCATTCAGCCCCTCAAGCCTGTTCCACCATTCCATGAGATCATGGCTGATCTGTACCTCAACTCCAATTACCCTCCTTTGCCCCATATCTCTTGATACCCTGTTACATGTGTTTGGAGATCTGAATTCTCAATGTGGTGAAGCTCTGTGATCAATTACACAGGGTTAGTTTGCAGACGGTAAATTTTCTGGCGACATTAATAAAGAATATTTGGATAGAAAATCATGGTTCAGCATGAGCTGTTCCCGATTACTTTAATAACTTACAGGCCAAATCCGCTGTGAAACGCTATGAAATTGATGATAATAATAACAATCCTTGCATTTGATATAGCGCCATCATTGATACATCTCAAAGTGTTTCACAGAATATATTGTAAAGTATAGTGACTTTTTGTATTTTGTGGGTGAAACTCGGTAGCCAAGTGCGCACAGCAGTGTCCCACAAACAGTCATGGATTGAGTGACTAAGTTATTATTCTACACTCGTATTACTTTCCCAGAACGGGATTCAGAACTCGGCCGCTGACATCAGTGAGCTGCAGCTTGTGGTGGCAAACGGAACCAGTCAGGAGCTTTCCACGGAAAACGAAAACAACAATCACAGTGTCAGTCTGGAGCGTGTGGGTGAGTGAGTGCGTTCTCTCTCTGAATCCTTTAATCAACCAACGTGCTATTGCAGGACACAATGTCCTTAATCACTTGGGAACCTTTGTTAAATACTCTGGTGGGTGGGGGGGAGATTATGGATTTAATTTTTAATATTAAAACATAAGAACTTACTCAGCGAAATAAGACCAAGGTCCATCCAGTTCGCCTTCCACCATCCTGGCAGTCGTTTCCCAAACTATATGTCGTGTCCCAAACTATATACTGTATCCCCAGATATTATTTCCTAACAGAAATCTAATTTGTTCTAGAAAGAATCCACACTTTCTGCTTTCACTGTCTCCCAAGGGAACCTGTTCCATACATTTACTACTCGCTCACACACTGAAGTAGTGTTTCCGCAGATTTATTCTGAATTTATTCCCCTTCAATCGCAGGCCGTGTCCTCTCTAATTGTTCAGTTACAAGATAAAACAACTTATTACGGTCTACGTTATCTAGTCCCTTTAGAATCTTAAAGACCGTAATCATATCGCCCCTCAACCTTTGCCATATCTCAATGGGATTCTATAATACGAAATCCCGAGTCATACAAATAGTCCGGAATAAGGAATCCTTACACCACAAAAAGACCCTAATGAATAAAAACCAAATTTATAAGGTTAGTCACATCAGTAGCCTTAGTTTATAAATCAAATTAAGGATTTAAATTAAAAAAAAAAATAGTAATTTGGTCACTCAATCCACAACTGTTTGTGGGACACTCACTGCTGTGCACAATTGGCTGTTGTATTTCACCCACAGAATACACAGACAATTCACTTTACAATATATTCTGTTAAGTGACTCTGGAGTTGGCTGTCACTCAGTGGCTGACCTGTTTGCAGGTAATTCTGTCCACACTGAAATGGAAGTCACCTCCACCGTGTCCGCAGTGACCGAGTCGGGAAGCGATGAGGTGTTTGTTATTTCAGCCGGACCTGGCCTGGGAACATTGCATTTCTCCAGCTTTAAAACAAAGGTAAGTCTGGTCATAGGGAGGGGGTGGATCAGGGGAAATCGTCACCCAAAGGATAATTGTGAAAACTCAGGCAAGACATTCAGCAAGGTTTGAACATCGTAACTCAAATTAATATTAAAAAAAATAATTTGGTCACTCAATCCACAACTGTTTGTGGGACACTGCTGTGCACAATTCTGCCCACAAAATGTCTCGACGAAGTGATAAGGCGCTGTACCAAATGCAAGGATTATCATTATTTTGGAAAAAAATCTCAAATGAGACCTGAGCAGTGTCGGGGACTTAGGTGTGGTCTCACTTCACATTGCTGGAGACCTTTTCTCTGCTGAAGACCTTTCTTTTCGACCGCGCCTCTGGTCACCTTTCCCCCCCTCCCCCTGGCTCAGTCCTGGGATCCGAAACTGTAAAGCGCTCTGAGACGCCATCCGGCGTGGAGGGCGCTATATAAATCCAAGTTGTTGTTGTCGTTGCTGGCACAGGAGCGTAGCCAAGAATACAGAGGATTACACTGCTGGTGGAGAAGAGAGTGCCAGTGTAAGATTGTAGTATTTGTCTGGTCTACAAAGGTAAACTGCGGATCTTTGTGGTGATTATCTAATGTGCTCGCGGGCAGCAAATTACAATTAGCCTCTGTTTAAATAAGTGTTCCTATGCCCAGCGATCGCAAGAGCTGTGACTGTTCGTTTCCATGTAAAATACCAGAGCTGCTGGTAAATCTCATGTGGTTGTCTCTGGCAGCTGATAATTAATTAAACATTGTTGTGAACAGGGTGGTGCCAGCAATACACCTGACATCTCTCACTTTTCACCTGAAAAGCGCCTCGACGGAGTGATTGGAAACTATGGCCGCAATACCCACAGTAGGCCACCAGAGGCCACTGGCGAGCGGCAGCTCAGTGATTGAGAGGGTAATGACTTTATTTGCCCCGAGTGTGGGGTCCGCCCCGAGGGGGGTCCGCCCTGTGCGGGGTCTGCCCCGTGCGCTTGGGAGGGTCCAAACCAATGGCAAGAAACGTAGGCACATAGGAGTTCCTGGGCCAAAAAAAGGCCACGGTCCATCCGGTCCTCCTTCTACCACCTTGTGTTGTAGTCACGAGCTACAACGATGGAGGTGTTGTTAGCAACTAATTTGGTACGGATTAGTCTACATCGCAGCGGAAGGCTTTGGGGACCGTAGACCCAAGGTTGCGTGGCTCTCCCACGTTGATAGGTACCCGGCGCGAGTCGTGGGGAGGAATTTAAAATTTAAAAGTTTTGAACACGTGAGAGTTGATCGACACGGGGGGGAGGATAATTTATAATAAAAATACTTGCATTTGATATAGCGCCTTATCACATCTTCGAGACATCCCAAGGCGCCTCACAGAATACACTGTGAAGTGTAGTGACTGTGTATTTTGTGGGTGAAATGCGGCAGCCAATTTATTGATGAGATGTATGAAAGGATTTTCAATTCCCCGGTGCAGCTCACACCCTGACGGGTCTCTCTCTGACCAGCCGGTATCCTGTCAGTGCCACCAAACCAATCCCCTCTGGTTCCCGCCCAGCATCACCAAGTTCCAGCGACTCAGCCACAGGATTTCGTACAGTATTTGCAGAGCCTATTAGGAATCCCGCAAATTAAGACTCCATAGCTGGATTTCAAATGTTCTCTGATGAAAGGAATATTTTATTATTCACTTTCCAAACCATATTTGACCCTTGACAGTCTAAAGCGCTCTGAGACGCCGTCCGGCCTGGAGGGCGCTATATAAATCCAAGTTGTTGTTGTAACACTATTCCACATAAAACCTCATACTTGTACTTGTGAACGTTTCGCCCGATTCACTTTACAGTATATCCTTTGAAGGACTTTGAGACGTCTCAACCATGCGATCAGGCGCCGTATCAAAGCAAGATTACTATTATTATTATTGTGTACATAGTTGCTCTCGCTCGATTCTGAATCTTGGTGTGAAGTGAGATACCAGGTGTGTGGACACTGCTGTGTCTCTCTGCCCCCACAGAACCCCAGGAACCTAAAGAGAAGTGTGACGAGTCCTGCCACTGTGTGTGACTGCCTGATGCCGGAGACGGTGGGGGGGCCAGAGCAGATGCTCAATAAACACAAGGCGGAGGATGGCCAGGGATCCCCGCCCAGACCCAGAGCGTGGAGTGTCCGCACTTTCCAGGACTTCCTGGCGCCGTTACCACAGCTGAGAAGAGAATGGCGGAGCTGGACCACAGCCAGTCCCTTCACCAAACTAGTGGAGAACAGTGTGAGTGTTTGTGTTGTAGCCCTGTATCCTCCTACCCCCACCATCACCGATCTCCACCCCTCCTGATCCCAACTCCCCCCCCCCCAGCTCGAGTCCAAATCTCTGACTGTCCAGCGCCTTGGGACGTCCTCCTGACGTGAAAGGCCCAGTGCAAATGTCAGCTGCTGTTGTACAGACTGGCAGTGTGAGCAGTGCGAGTGTTTGTGTTGTACAACAGTGACTCTGCATTGTCACTGTCCGGCTTTGGGACTGTGGAAAACTGTTTAAGGTGAAATTTCAGCTGCAAAGATCATAGGAACAGGAGTAGGCCATTCAGCCCCTTGAGCCTGTTCAGCCATTCTATTAGATCAGGGCTGATGTGTACCTCAACTCCAATTACCCAGGCTTGTACCATATCCCTTAATACCCTGACCTAACACATATCTATCTACCTCAGTTTTGACAGTGTGAATGGATCCAGCATCCTTTTTTTTTGCCTTTTGAGGCAGTGGTTGTGGTTGGGGCTGAATGGAGAGATGCCACAGAACCCTTCTCTCTATCTCCTTCCTTCCTTCCCTCCCTCCTGCAGTTTACACGACGACGGAAGCCTGCCCTGCAGTCAGCAACATGCTGTTTCTATTACAAACACTTCCTGCACCAAAGAAATGTTTCAATTTCCTCCTCCGTCAATAAATGGTTTAATGAATCAAAGGTCGACCAAAGCCAGTGGGAAGGGAAGTGTTTGCAATGGGAATTTTAATGGCTTTCATTATTTGTCGCTACTTCCAAGGAAGCTGGTGCTTTGAACAGAGGCATGCTGTTTGCTTTCTCTACTCTCTCTTCCTGAACTCAGTGACTCCCAGTGGGGGGGGTGCAATGTGTGTGTGTGACTTCTGCTCATAACAGTGCCACTAAAGTCAACACAATTCAGCGCTGATCCTAAATGAAACATTTTAAACGGCCCCACCATCCTTCAGATGAGACGTTAAACCGAGTTCCCGTCTGTGCTCTGGTCAGGTGGACGTTAAACATCCCGCTGCGCTATTTGAAAAGTGAAGGGAATTTCTCTCTCCTGGTGTCCCGGCCAACGATCCCCCAAATAAAATCGGTCACTCACTCCGTAGCTGTTTGTGGGACATCGCTGAGTGCAACTAAAGGTTCAGAGACGTTCAGGTTTCAGAACTGAAGAACATATTTTTGAGAAATACAGAGTCATTCCTGTGAAGTGTTTTGAGACGGCCTTCCAAAGTGAAAGGTACTATACCAAATGTGGGGATTATTATTATTATAGTAAACCTCATATAAGTCGTACCATTTGGGACTAGACATTTAATATTACTCATGCGAAGTATGAGTTATATGGATTATAAACTCCCGAGCAGGACTTGGGCAGATGTACGACTTGGGCGATTACGATTATACAATTTATATAGATCAGACATGCGGGCAGGTTTTACTGGAATAATGATCAAACTTATAACAACGTAAAAAATGAAACATACGCTGGCCGAGAGACTAACTGTGCTGTGGTTTTACGTAGGGCACGGACCGTTTACGAGGGGACGGGCAGCCAGAGATTAACCGGAAAGTTCTGTCTGACGTGCAGCTGGAAGCGAAAGGCGAGTATCTGTGTTCCTCCTCAGGGAGCACGGCCTCCTACCCTCTCACTCAGTCTGCCCACTGCCAACGCAAGCTCCTCACACCTACCAACCTCAAGAGAACCTGGTTTGGAAGTCCCTGCTTTGGCTTCCAGCCCAGCTCCCCCCATCGGGCCAAACCGAGAGAGCCTGCAACTCACCCCGGCCCCGCAAGGCAGGCCCTCCCTCAATACGAGTCTCACAGCCCAGGGCACAAGGTCCCAGCAGAGAGCGCCACACCTTACACTGCAGAAGGTCTCCAGACTGACCCAGCCCAAGGCAGGGACCTGGCGACTGACACCGACAGAACAAATGTCACCAAACCAGTTTTTGTCATCTCGGAGGAGAGCGACGCTCAACAGCCTTTGGTACTCGGTCCAGGACACGTGGGTCAGTTTAGCGACTGCGCCCATTTTGAGACCAACAGAAGCAGCAAAGCTTCGGATGCCCACGGACAGAAGGGTCCGGTCAACAGGTCGGAATCGAGCCTGACCCCCAACACTGGTGCGTGGATAAACTGCCTGACGCCTCGCGTAGGCTCAGCCAAACCCAGCAGTGCCTCGCTCACAGAGACGGGTGGACTCCAGCCACCCTGCTCATATACTGCTCCATCTCCAACCCTGGCCAGCACCACACTGCGGGCAGAGACAGCACCCACACACAGCCTGGCCTGTCAACACATCCAATAACATTCTGCTTCTCCACGCTCACCACAAGACACTGTAGCACTGATGAATTTCACCCACAAACTGTACAGTCACCACACTTCACAGTACATTTCTTTGAAGCACTTTGAGATGTCTCAGCGATGTGATCAGGTGCTGTTCAAATGCAAGGATTATTATCAACATGTGTCATTTTGACGACTGACTGACTGTCCCACAGACTCGTGTCAGCTCATCTGCAGACAGGTTTCAGGATGTATTTTTGAGAAGGAGCATCTCTGTTCCCAAATGATGTAAAATTTCCGTTTAAATGTAAAAAAACAACAAAATCATAGTCCTCGATCTTTATACTAATGCTGTGTAATTGTGACTTGTATATTTTGGTTAAATTGCTGTACTTTGCAGTTACACCATGTTTATTTCCAGCATCTGTTGTTTTTTTTAAACGGATATAAACTGAATGATGTGCATTTGACCTGACCCTCTGCCTCACAAACACAAAAAAAAGTCAGTCTTGTCCTCTGGAAACTTGTGTCCCTGATTTAAATAGTGGCTCACAAGCTCCTGTTAAAGTGGTCAGGTTCAAACCCAACACCAATGGAGGCTACGGACGTGAGAAGAGGCACGGAGACGGTTTATAGTTTAGATCCATGAGCAGCCTGGACCCCAGTGCGAAACAAATGTCAGCCGCGATAATGCAATCAATAAAGAGTTTCCACTGAATTCATTGCCCGAATCTTCTGTCATTTTTCAAGCATAATAGTCCCTGCATTTGATACAGTGCTTCATTGAGCCGTCTCAAAGCGCTTCACAGGATATACTGCAAAGTGGATCGACTATGTATTGTGTGGGCAAAATACGGCAGTCAAATATCCCATTGAGTTACATTTTTTTCCCTATCATAAAACTCTAATTACGTACAATCTTTTGTTTCTGAAAAAACGTTCCATTTAATTTGGATCCTCTGATAATTGAACACCAGGCTGCTGTAATTAGCTGTAATGTGCCCTTAGTTTAATAACCAAATTATCCTGGGCTCAAGTAGATTTTGGGTCATGAATTGCTTTATTGAGGTCATCAGGATGCCGGGTTGAAGTGCTCAGAAATGGGTCACGTTTTGTTTCAGAATAGACAATTGCGCACAGCAGTGTCCCACAAACAGTCGTGGATTGAGTGTATAATATATATTTTATAGTGCCTTTCCTCAGACAGCCCTGGTCCCGTCCTCATTTGACATCCACAAATAAGCACTTACCAGCAGTAGTGACTGGGTTAGGAAACCACAGAAAGGACTGATTTCCCCCATCTCTGCCCCCACCCTTCTTCGCCCCCAACTGCTTATATTCACATACAATGAGCTTCTACACAGCCAACAAATTAATTTTTCTATTGTATTCGCGGCTCCAAATTCCAACTAACGAGTGGTTAGTGTGTGCTAAAGGAATGCTTTTAATCTCCTAATCCACGATTTGTTTTGTTAAAAGCATTGCACTGCCATTTAAAAATACAGTCTATTCCCCCCTCTCCCCTGCCCACTGTGATCAGTGGTCATTAGCTGACTGAGAAACATCAAAACACACTCAACTGAGACAAGTGAATTTGGGTGAGGGGGTTTGAAGTTGATAGGGAATAACTGGTCAAACCCTTCATCAAAAAATAATCTACTTAAATTTACACAGATAGTCCTTTATCCCACTAATAACCCGAAGGACAGCTTTACAGTAGTAAAGTACGCAGTGACCTCTTGTGAATTTACACAGACTCGCCTTGTTTAATTAGCATGAGTGGAGGGAACGAATTACTACATAAAGATCGTGTGGTTGGTAAGTTGGTGCAGCAGCACATTGTGGCACAACTCGTCATTAATAACAATAATAATCCTTGCATTTGATATAGCGCCTTCTCACATCGCAGAGACGTCTCAAAGCGCTTCACAGAATATTATTTTTTGGGGCACAGAATTATTATCCCCAGAGAGCGAAATGCCAATCGGGTTCCTACTTACTGCAGGTAAACAGAGGCGCATAGAGTAAGGAAACTTGCCTAACTTTTCACCCTGCCCGGGAATCAAACTTGATCTCTCACTTGTGAGGCGGATGCTCTATCCACTACGCTACAGGACTCCACATTTTAATTGAATGTTAAGGAGGCAAGATATGCATGTTTAAGGATAGATCACAGCCCTGTGATCACTGAAAATGAACTGTGAGCCTGGGAGTCTCGGTTCTGCTTCTGTTATCTCATGACCTGTCAGTAACAAGGGCAATTCTGTTATTACATCGAGGCCACATTACAACTAATTACTGTGCTTGTTCATTAGTCTCTCAATGGGCCATTATTTACCATCTTAATGACAAAGGGTTTCTCAGCAATAAAAAGAACAGCCTGTGTGAACAGCAATTACCAGTGTCAGATAAATAGTAAATCAAATGCCTTCATTTAAAGTTCCAGCTATAAAGGCATTTCAAAATTGTTTCCTAATTTATGCAGTTGACAGTGAATGGGGAGGAAAAGCGTTTCCCTGAAAGCTTTCCCAACCTTAACAAGTGATCTTTTCATTCCGTAATTTATATTGTCATCTTCCAATCCCTTACAGGCCCTGGCACCTCCCTTCCTCTCCAACCTGCTCATTCCCCAACCCACCAGCTGAGAGGGCATCCCATTCCAACAACCTCTCTCTGGAGTTTCACACGCAGGTGGGATGCATGGAACTCTCAGCTCGGTTTGGAGACTCTTAAGCACGGTGATGGGTTTCTGCATGTGTCAGACACCCGGCTGGTCCCACCATAAAACGAGACACTTAACAATACGCTCTACTTAAAGCCCTCAATATGCAGATCTTTAAATACCTTATGAGGTGAGCTGCATCTTCCTGACATCTGACTGTGTGAGGAGTGGAGGTGTTGTCCTGATTCTCAGTGACTGATGTTGCAGATTCCCTTGACGAACTGGATCAGAAAGCACAGCACCAATTTGCAATGAGTTCCACCAGCACAAGCCTCACCAGGCACTGCTAATTACTAAACTTAATAATAATAATCCTTGTATTTGATACAGCACTTCCAAGTCTTTGAGATGTATCAGACTTAAGGTTAGTCAAGATAATTCAAAGGGGTTGGTTATCCCTCCCACTGATGGTACAATAGTCTCAAATAACTGCAGGTGATTGTGTTTTAAGTGGCTGTTAAGTACTCAGCTGTATATTTATTGCTTAGGCAAACAAATAGGTCTTGGAACAGTGAACAGCAGCCCATAATTTTAACAATTCTGTTGACAATGATATGCAGAGGTAAGCAGCTACTGCTAACGCTCTGCACTCCCAGCCAGTGTGTAGTGAGTGTGTGTTCAGGGACCTGGTGGCAATGCTCTCATCCACTTTACGCTAATTCATGTTGTTTGCATTGAGCTTTCACCACTTGCATATCCACCCACAGTGAGCAAATGTTCAAGCCTGCACTTGTTTAGATGTCCGATGACCAACTTGTGACAATCTTCGATTTGTTTGTGGATGGGGGGGGGGGAGTAAGTGGGGGGAGAAGGTAAACAGAGAGTAGTCTCCTCCCGGCTGTGCTGAGCCAGCTTCAAGCAAATGTGCCCGGCTATTGAATATCACAATCCAATCAATCCTCTGTGGATCTCAATAGGCTGGTACCTAAGCCAGTCAAGATCGCAGTACCTCAAGACATCGATGTTGATGGTGGAGCAGTCAGCCTGGCTTTGTGGATACAGCTTGGGAGAGACAACAGGACGGGAATCCTATACCCCCTCCCGGCTCCTTGTCAGCTCGTTTTGAGGGAAAGACCAAATTCAGCATAAAACATGAACCATGTTGCCTTCTATTTAATAAATCAATTCCGGCATTATCCAATTGGTGGGGACTCATATATTAGCAGAAATGGCACACGTTTCAGTTGAAATAAGTAGAGAAAGAACGAAAAACTGTTTAAATTTCACCCAAATACCCATCGTATTTCCACAAACAGCAGTGGCTATTTCCACACAGAGAACGCTGAACCCGTTTCAAGATAAATTTCCGATGTCAGGAGCTAAACACTCAAAAAGTAGTTTAAAACCCGATAAAGTATTAATTCTGATCACTGTGCTATTCCACGATGCCTTCACTCCATTTATCTACGAAGAAGCAAGTCTTAACCAATGGCTTTGCAGTCAAGAGTTTATGTTCAAGCATTATGTGCTTGAACTAAAACAAATTCAAACCCCCTCCACCCCCACTTGTAGAATATTACTCTTTTCAATAGATTTAATTTCAGGACCCAGACAATATCAGTTCTTCATTTTCTTTACACCCAAATTTATCAACGGATCCAAACACATTCACAGACAAGTGCAAAGGATGACAACAGCTCGTGTCTATTGTTATTTGCAGATGCAGTCACACAACACATCACATCTTGTCGAATGAAAAACATTAACACACCAACGTGAATCTTTCACAATTGACTAGTTTCTAAAAGGGAAGCTGGTGCCTGAGATCCGTCTCCAGAACCGGTGATGAGAATCATTGGCTGATGAATCCCAACTTGTCCAGCGCCTTTCATGTCATACATCCTCCCGCCATGGAAAACACTACACAAACGTCATTTGTTGCCCAGAGATGAGATGAGAGACGACCCCAACGAAGGGGGAAGGGAGCGTTTGGAAGGAGGTGGGATGTGGACATTAAAAAAAATCTGCAAAGAGTTCACGCCAGTGATTTTAATTGCGTTCATTACTTTCAGAAGCTCGACAAGCAAAACCTGAAGGTGCCCAAGACAGGCACACCCCACCCCTGCAAACCGTTGTTAACACTCAGCAGTCACACACAAACACCTCTACCGACGGTCACATTTGACATCTGCAGAATTGCTCAGGAATTTTCCAATTAAGTAATTTTAAACATTTAATTTCCTCTTGTTCCTCGTGATCATACCGCTTCAAACTCAACTCTAATAGACAATTAGGAAAGCGATTCCCTAACCGAGCCGGGAAGCCACCCATGGCTCCCAGCAACACAGCACTGACACATTGTGTTCCATCACTGAGCCACGTGCCGGCCGGGAATCTGGGTCAGGAATACAGCGCTCAGCTCAGCCTCCAGAGGCCGGCTCTAAACAAGTTTAAACACTGAAATAACAAGCCTTGTGTGTGTCCCAGCGCCCTCCACATCAGGACGTCTCATAGCGTTCCAGAGGATCCATCGAAAAGCATTGCGTTTTGTGGCTGAACGCGACAGGCAATATACGCACAGCAATGTCCCACAAACAGTCAAGAAGGAAGTGAACAAGTCTATGTGGGAAATTGTCAGCTAAGACACCGGGAGAGAGACTCCCTTAGTTATCCGCCAAAAGACACAGCTCAAGTGTCTCCCCAGCACCACTCTCCACGCTAGTGAACAAATCAAGTGCGTTTGCGCCTGGCGCAGTCACTGTAAACATGGCACCCCTAACAATCCCAAATGGTTGGGTTTGAAGGCTTTAAGACAAGGTACTTGTCCTCTCCACAATCCAGCACTTTCCCAGCAGCGTCTTGTCCAAATTTGGCCGTGAGAAATGCAAGATCCGAACCCACTTTTACAAAACATATGGACGAGAGATAAAAATTGCGGTAGAATAAGGTTAAAATACTCTCGTAGATCTCATCAGTATCCAAATTATTCCCAATAACAATGAATTTGCAGTTACAGACTGAACGGAACCCAAAAGACATGAAAGAATCTTACACAAGAGGGCACCGGGTTACATGTGGGCTGTTTAATTACAATCTGGAGACCAGAAATGTTGCATTGGAATCATACACATTCCTTCAAGATACACACAATAGGAGAGTACAAAGCCCCCTCAGTCCTCACACTGTCTGTCTGTGTCTGTCTGTTGGAGCAATCCAGTGTTCAGGAGGGATGTCACCAAGTACAATAACAGCCTCTCTGGGGCCAGGTAAGACAGCAGTTCAGTGCACGAACATTCATGTGCTTTAAAGTTGCTTCAAGCATTGGGGAAAAAGAACCAAAATCGAATCTGAATTGCTGGAAAAGGGCGCAGGCGTCAGGCAAGGACAAGAATGTGAATGAATGAAGAGATTCTGCTGTCAAACAGAAAACAGCCCAGTGACACTATGAGGGCAAGTTTAGACCGAGATGAATCATCCTCATGATACTTCGCACACCCCGCAAGGCGGAGAAATGCCTTGATCTCCTAGGACATGTGCTGGAGCACATCATCCAACCCTGTATTGACACGAGCTGCCACTGTCAGGACAGGACTGATAAGTGAAAACATTGACATAGTTGACACAAGACAGTAAAATCACAGGGAGCCATCACTTGTGGGCCCTTCTGAAAGAGAACCTGGTCTGAGAACATGCTGCATAGGACTCTCGGCAACGCTGGACACAGAGAGAAGAGTTAGAGACGAAGAAACATTTGCAGATGGCTTCAATTCTTATTTACCACCCACCCCCACCCCACTCCCGCTTTAGTCTCACCTGCATACAACAGCCAACCGACATTTATGTACAATGGATCACTACAGTGTTAAGACTACAGGTGCCAATTCATCCCAAAGAATCTACAAAACACTAAGTCACACTCACCAACTGCTGTTCCCAATAAAGTGCTCTTAAGACAGGTCAGACAGGGCTAGTTAGTTCTCATCTAAGAAGCGATTTGCTCCCAGTTTATAAATTCTAGGTACAAAAGAGTTTATTTTCTGCTTCTCCTCCCTGAAGAGGAAGTAGTAATTAATCCCCGTCACAGTAAACTTGCACACGCACTGGATCCCATCCCCTAACACAGCTCTTGGATTGTTCACAATAGAGCGATTGTGTGACCAGCACTTAATGAAAGATGCATTAGATTAGCTTCTCAAAAAGACAATTCAGATGTTCAAGTTGAAGATAATGTTACTAAAAAACAAAAGGAACACTCCCAGCTCCTGCTCTCTCCACAGTATAATAATAATCTTTGCATTTAATACAGAGCCTTATCACGTCTTCGAGACATCTCAAAGCGCTTCACAGAATATACAGTAAAGTGAATTGACTGGATATTTTGAGGTTGAAACGCGGCAGCCAATTTATTATATATATATTTTTTTGAAGGAATTATTACCCCCAGAAAAGCAATCCACCAACTGACTAACAACCAGGTTCCTACTTACTGCTAGTTAAAAAGAGGTGTGTGGAGTAAGGAAATTCATCCAACATTTCACCCTGCCCAGGAATCGAACCCAGGTCCCCCCGCTTGTGAGGCGAGTGCTCTAACCACTAAGCTACAGGACTCCACAACGATGCTACAGGAGAAGTACTGAAAATCACTGGTGTTCTGTTACACAACGGAATAAAAACAACATGACTTGTGTCTCAATGTCCTTTGATTATCTACCTTCATTCCTTAAAGCAAGCATTTCCCCTGACAAAAAGCACAGCATTTGAAATATTTTATCGCTAGTTACTACAACAGGTTCGGACCAAAAACAATTACTCCTATATTGACTGCACAGCAGACAACAAAAACATGGAAATAAAGTTCCTTTGTGGCAATTACAGTAGTAAAACCGGTGAGTAACATTGCTTTAGAATTCACTCAAAAATAGGGCACATTTTGTTCCATTTTTAATACAGTCCCAGAAATAATTGTTTATTCCGACACACAAGTTCCTTACCAAAGAGGCAGCCAAAGCGAGTGAGTGAACACCCTCTAATCATCATCATCCTCGCTCGTCCTTCGAAAGGTGGCCCAATGGTGTCAGGTATAAAGGTTATACGAAGTGCAGCCACACAAAGCTTACTGAATGTTGATTGTATAAAAAGGGCTTGCAAAGACATTTTCGCAAAGTTTACATGACGTGCACCTCCCTTCCCATCGGGGATTCTCTCCAGACACGAGAAATGGCTTTTGTTAAAAAGAGAAGAAAAAAAAAAATCGCTGAAAATCTCAGTTCTTGAACCGCGTTTGCTCACAAATGTGATTAAACTTCCTGTAAAGAGAGAGACGGAGATTATACCACACCTGTAAAAATCAAGACTGCTCTCATTTGAAGGCCTTCAGAGCAGCAAAACAAAGCAATTCAGACTAATTACAGGCAAATTAGAATTTTTTTCCAATTAAGATTATTGTAGCAAATTGCACAGTTACACAGAAATAAATATGCCTCATAAGGTCAGCACCACAGCACAGGAGAACGAAGCACAATATATACATACATAGCATGATGTGCTTTAACCTGTGTGCGGCAGTTTCGCCCCCAGTAGCAATCTGGACGTGTAGTTACGGTCCCTGAGGTGACAAAGCAACAGGATGTCAATCAGCCACAAACAAGCAATGTTTTACAACAACTTGCACATAGAGGACCTTCCTCTTCGACTGTCATCTCCTCACCACCCCCCCCCCCCGGCTCGGCATTGTGCTCCGCCGCTGGCTTGCATTTACACCGTGCCCCTCTCGCAGAGTAGCGCCCCAGTGCGCCAGCCTGTGTTATCCTGGGACGCTACCCTGCGTGAGAGGGAGGGGGCTGTGTAAATGCAAGCTGTTGTTGTTGGCTTTAAAGAGACTGTACCTGGAAGCTCAGCTACTGGAATGTTCTGTCTGTACTGATAAGCGAGCTCGCGGAAGCTGTGCAGCCCACACCAGTAACAAAGAACAGTGTTGGTCGAAACTCGGTAATCTGTTAATGAAAAGGCAGTGGTAAGGAAGGAAAAGTGCGTCGATGGATGAATTAATAATAATAATACTCACGCTTGTTATAGCGCCTTATCATGTCGTTGAGACATCTCAAAGCGCTTCACAGAATATACTGTCAAGTGGATGACTATGTATTTTACGGGTGAAATGTGGCAGCCAATTGCGCACAGCAGTGTCCCTCCCGCAAACAGACGTGGATTGAGTGACCACATTTTCAACACTGAGGCCCCAAAACTCCCATCAGCTTTGCTTAAAATACCGGAAAACGTCGCAACTTGCACACAGTGAACAGTACCACAGCCCTCCCCAAGTGAGATCAATACCTGACAGAACAAACGCCCCTCTCTGTAAAGCCAGCAGACTCTCCTGTAGCATCTCTTTCCAGCTAAGGCCTCGGGAGGTAAGGTAATTCTGAAAGAGACGTTGGCAATACGGTAAAGCCAATATATAATAGGCATTTCACGACAGAGCGAAAAGGCGACTAGTTCTGAATAACAAATTCTAATCTGACTAGAAATAACAACAAATAACATGTACACGGCGCCTTTCATGTCGGGAGGACGTCCCAAGGTGCTGGACAGTCAGGGATTTGCACCCGAGCTGGGGTTGGGATCAGGAGGGGTGGAGGGCGGGGAGGGTGACTGAAGGCACGGTGGAAAAGGCTGATCTTGAGATGAGCCTTGAAGGAGGCAAGAAAAAGGAACAGGGGAGATAAGCGGAGCAAGCCTAATCCCGGGGGGTGTTATACAGGGGAGGAATATGAACCCTCTCCCACACATAGAGCAGTGAGTAGAGATTCCCGAGTCACCGCTGCAATGTCGGTTGAATCCATTACCTTAAGAATGTCCGATTCACAGCTGTTGTTGTTCAATATTCCATCCAAACACTTTTCCCCAAAGTTTATATCTGTTTAAAAGAAAGAGAGAAATTTGTTCAATAAGAGTCACCACCTCATTAGACGTCAGTCCAGTTAACACATGTTTGAGTGGTGGGAATTCTCAGGCTGGTGTAGACACATGTGGACAGAATTAAATGATTTACTCTCCGAGATCCTCACAACACTTGTGGGAAAGAGAGACATCTCAAAGCACCTCACAGATTATACCAATTATACATAGCAGTGTCCCACGAACAGCCGTGAATTGATTGACCGAATTATTATTATTTTTTTGGGGGGAAGAGATTATTTTCCCTGGAAAATGATCCAACAATCGTCTAACAACGGGGTTCTTACTGAAACGGGGTCCTCTCGCTTGCGAGGGGAGTGCTCTAATTAATGTGCTGCAGGACTCCACCTGTACATCCAAATCCTCTCAGTTTCCAGGCAGCAAAGGGAATCACATCAACCTGGTCAACTGCTGTTGGTTTTCTTGGTTCGTCAGAAGATTTGACGACAAACTCATGTTCCAAACTAAGAACTTGTGGGGAAACGGACCTGTCAAATCTAATTAAACAGATCTGTCCATTTACTGGTTAACCAATGAGCGAGTGCTTTATATCAGAGTTTAATGGACAATAGATTCCTCTTTACCACAAAACTGTGCCAAACAGCCAGAGCAACCCACACGAGAACAGCCCCAATACATGTGACAGAAGGTCCGTAAACAGATCGTGCCTGGGGTGGGGAGAGAGAGATGAAAAGCAAGGTTAGAATCGGTGACCTTCAATAACAGTTTAGTCACAGCAGAAAGCCACTGTGAGGGCAGCAATACACCTGAACACACACAGAGTAGACAAGAGTCAGCGCTCACCACATAAGCTTCAGAGATGTGCTGTCTGGATTGGTATTTAATGGAAGAGTTATAATAATAATCCTCACATTTGATATAGCGTCTTATCACGTCTTCTCAAAGCGCTTCATTGTAAAGTGAATTGAGGTCATATTTTGTGGGCGAAATGCGACAGCCAATTGTGCACAGCAGCGTCCCACAAACAGTGGTGGATTGAGTGACTTATTATAACTCATTATTATTCTTAAATTATTATTAAATACTCGTTATTATTATAATTTTTCTGATTTTTCTTTGAAGGGATTATAACCCATGGAAAAGCGATGCGCCAATCAACTAAAAACTTTGCATGTCCTTTTACCACTGCACAACATTTCTCTGTGCCATTGAAACACGCTGGGTGTTGTTAAGAGGTCCCCACGTACATTGCTGGTGGGTGACAGTAGGGTTCTGCTCTCGCTCTGCTCGCCGGTCCGGCATCGGCTGGAAACAGCAAGTGCAAATCATGTGGGCCCCTCGTGCAGGGCAGGTGTACTCCTTCACAGCTTCAAACAGGAGAGAGAGGGAGAGAGACAACACAGGTCACAGGACGTTAAGAGTTCAACCAAAATCATTTATACAGCGCCGTTCACACAGGATAGTGCCCTAAGAGCTCTGGACTGTGTCTGGGTTGAACAAAGGGGAGCGAGTGAGGGGGGAGGGAGCGAGCGGGGGGGGGGGGGGGGAGCGGGCGAGGGGGGGGAGCGAGCGGGGGGGGGGAGCGAGTGAGGGGGGAGGGAGCGGGGGGGGGGGGGAAGCGAGCAAGGCATGGAGTTCGAGGTTAGGGGGCGTACAGATAAACGGTCGTACATCACTTAAACATTCGGTTATAAAGGCCTCACAGTCTAACAGGTGCCCCAGTGTGAGCAGCTGAACAGGCAAACTGCACAGCCAGGGCCGGGGGTCAGACACTGACCTGCAGGGTTACTGGTGGATGTTGATGGAGCGTCGCCCGTCACCCGGAAAGCCGCCAGCTCACAGGCCCCGCTGTGCTGGCCTTGCAGGAAGGAAGACTGGTTGTGCTCAGCCCTGTAGCCAGGACACTGTCTGCACACAATGTAGGGTTGGCTGAGATCAGAGGGAGAAGACGTGGTCAAGAGGGACAGACAGACAGGAGCCACGTTTAAATTGTACAAAAGAGACACACCCTGTCCCCACCCACACCCACAAAAACCCACCCACCCACTCACAGGCTGATCAGCTGTGAGCACTGCCAGGCTGGATGTTTGTTCACTCACTCACATGCTGTGGTTTCCACGACGTTGCTGTGAAACAGCAGAAACCCACCTGATGTCCGAGGCCTCACTGTCCACGTCACTGAGCTCCAGGAAATCCTCGGAGCTGCCCTCCTCGTCAGAGAACGAGCGTTTAATCTTGGGCTGCAGCATGTCCTGTGTTATTTTATTCCTGGCGTCCATGCTCTGTAGCTCTTCCCCGCTCCGACACTTCTCTGCAACAAACGTTCACCCATGACACGCACAGTCACTACACTTACAGTAAGAGACTCTCTCCCGACATGAAAGGTGCAGTAATCAAATGCTGGGATTATAACAACAAAAAAATGACAAGATGCTGAAACATTGGCTGGTTTGTTAATAATCCCGTGGCCCTTGGGTTTATGGAGTTTGATAATAATAGTGACCATATTTTTGTGGAGGGATTATTACCCCGGAAAGCGATCCCCCAATCAGCTAACAAGTGGGATTTTACTGACTGTTATGCAAACAGAGGCGCGTGGAAACTTGCCTACGGTTTCACCCCACCTGGGAGTGGGTCCCAGAGCACGTGGACACACACACACACTGCCCTGATCACTTGCCTGGGTGCTGGAGCAGATAGGCCTCCACCAGGTTGTTGACCATGTGGTTCTTGCTGATCCGCTCGACAGGGCAGCGGCAGGTGGGGCAGAGCGAGGACCTCTCCATCCAGCCCGAGTAACAGGCCGCACAGAACGAGTGCATACAGGGCTGCAGGCTGTGTGAGAGAGAGAGAGATTGCAACACCACACTGCATCAAGCTTCTATATCATCTGCTGTGAACTCCCATGTTCAATAATAATGATAGATCCTTATCACGTCTTCCGAGACGTCTCAAAGCGCTTCACAGAATATACTGTAAAGTGAATTGACTGTGTGTTTTGTATGCGAAACGCGGCACTTTGAGATGTTTCAACGACATGATAAAGGACTGGATCAAATCAAGGCTTATTGTTGTGAACAAAATGCGAGCGAGGATGACTGAGGGTCCAACTACCTGACACAATCGTGCAGGAGATCCTGACAGATAATACAAGTCAGAGTCTCCTCCATTTTGTCGGGCTGTTTCCCCTCCGATGTCCCTTGTTCAGCGACCAGCTCCCCCGGCCTGATACTGGAGCTCTGTTCCTCCCCCAGGACAGGAGGGTATGGCACTCCATCGCTTTCTAGTAAAGAAGAGATTATACAATTAAAGGCTACATTCAGAACAGCAATAACTTGCACTTACACAGCGCCCGGCACGCGAGGGTCTCGGGAGTGTTTAACAGAGACGGAGCCTGAAACTCTAGAGACAGTCATTGAGACGCCTCAAAGCGCTTCACAGAACATATTGTAAAGTGCAGGGACTGTGAGTTTTGAGGGTGAAAATTATGACTCGACAATAATCAATGTCCAGCCTGACTGATGGAGAAGGATTATTGGGTTGAAGTCATGGAGGGCGGGCGCCTGAGTAACCACAGCCGCGCACTTTAGGGAAAGAGAGGGAGAAAAGTTAGAGGGAACTATTTTCACCGGGTACATAAACACTTGCCCCGTTTCCGTTTCTTTTTGGTCGGCTCAAGATCATCCGCGGTCGTCTCCTCCTCTTTGGCCAGGATCTGGCAGAGCAACGGGTTGGTGGCTTTAGGTCCTGATGCGCTTTCTCTGTGTGACTGAGTGTGTGACGGGGCTGAGGCTGAGGCAACGCTGAGAGGCTTTGGGCCCAGAGACCAACACGTCACTGAGCAGGTGGGTCCCTGTGTGGACACTGAGGGACCAGCAGCACTGGACAGGGAACCACCTGGAGACGCACACGACACTCCGGGGGACACATTGGACTCAGCAGACTCCGGACTGACGACAGAGGTAATGAAGGGATCGTAGTTAGAAGTGCAGGGATGAGGTTCTTCCTGGGAAGGCTGGTCAGCTCGTTTGGGACAGGGTGTGGGCGAGAGGAGCGAGTTTCTGTCAGCACCGCTGTCCAAGCTTGAGAGCTCCTGAATAGGTTCAGTCATATCGCAGGTCGACCCTGTACAAGAAGACAGGTCAGTGTTTACACTAATTTAGCCCAAACCCGAGCCCCAGTCTCATAGGAACAGGAGGCCATTCAGCCCCTTGAGCATGTTCCGCCATTCTATAAGATCGTGGCTGATCGGTACCTCAAATTCAATTACCTGCCTTTGCCCCGTATCCCTTGATACACTGACCTAACGAATATCTATCACACATTTGTCACCCTTTCATTCATTCCAATCTAACCAGAAAGATCATGTTTAATTACCCATTAGGTCTTCTTCAGGCTTGGCCTCCTCTGAACTCAGAGCTTTGTACAAATAGGCGACATCTATATAGAGAGAGAACAAAGAAAAAGCAAATGAAAATCACCACAGGTCAAATATTGCATTCAGCCACTACGCCCCGAAGCTTTGGGACTCTCTCCCCTAATTCCTCCGCCATGTTCCCCTCCTTCCCATCTTTTAAATCACGACTGAAGACCTTCCTCTTCAACAATTCTCACGGTCACCTCCTCCCTCCCACCAGCTCAGGGTCAGGCTCCGCCACTGTTAACCGCTCCGAGACACTGATTTAATTTTTCATTTTTTGTTAACCATATACAGTATTTTACTGTATTACTATAAGAATCCTGTCTGCTGCTCACTCTGATCTGGTTCATTCTTCCTATAGACAACATAAATCGCATCCCCGTTCTGCAGTAAGTAGCTCTGCTTCTTCACCACTTTAGATTTGTTGATGACTGTCCCATTGGTGCTGGAAGAGAGGTTTGAACACATTAATAATAATCCTGGCATTTGATATAACGCCTTATCACATTCTTGAGATGTCTCAAAGAATATACTATAAAATGAATTGACTGTATTTTGTGGGTGAAACAGGGCAGCCAACTGCACATAGTGTCCCACAAACAGTCATGGATTGGATGACCAAGTCATTGTTTTTTTAAAAATATAAGATCAGATAAGAACATAATAAAGCCCCTTCCTCTCAGCCCCCGACTCCCTCCCACCCCCTCCCCCCCACACACTGCAGTGGGAAGACAAAACCGGTAACATTTGCCCGTAACGTCACTGAACTTTGTGGCTTTGACGGCCTCTGGGGCAAGACTGCACTTGTCTCGCGGAAGCATTAGGCCATAAGAATAAGAGTTTGCTCGGCAAAAGACGACCAAGGTCCGGTCAGTTCGCCTCCCACCACCCCGACAGTCACTTGACTATAAGTTGGAATAGTGTATGTTTTTGGACATTAACCCTATAGACTACCAAAAGGACCAAAGCCATCGCTGCCGCCCCTGTACACTACCAACGTGTGCTATAGGCTTTCAGCTAAGATTTTGTAAATGTGTGGTCTCCGCTGCCGTCTGGTGGACAAGTACAGCAATTACAACAGAGACAACATACAGGTCTCGTCAGTCCAAATCAACCATCTGCATTCAGTGAGGAACTGCGAGCAGTTAAACTTATCACAAGGAGAACTTGTCAGCCTTAAATCCAAAGTAATTGTGGCACTACGTTAACTCTTCCTCACTCAAAATAAATGCCTTGACATCTCGTTGCAGGAACGTTTATAGTGATGTTTATAAACTGGGTGCGTGTATGCCACTCATGCTCTAACAAAGTGTTCTGACCAGCTCACTCGGATTCCTACCAGATATTACGTCTGACGCCCAAAAAAGAAAAAGGTCGCACCGTAAACTGACCGATAAGCAAGAGCGCTCATTCCTCACATAAACAACAACCACAGAAATACAACCGCAGACAGCAGCGATCAAATCATGTCTGGGACGGACATGTGTGCGAGCATGTCAGTGGTTTAAAGATCGGACGAGACCGCTTTGCACGTCACAGGCAGGTGGTCATCTGCAGACAGTGTGGTCAGAACTGCTGCTCTCTTCCCTCCCAACACACACATACACACCCACACACCACAGTGACTAAACCATAAAACACATTACATACCTGGTGTCTTCCAACCACACCTGTCCAGGGTTTTCTCGAATGATTTTACAGTGATCTCCGGATACAAGTTTATTGCCAGGAAAAGACAAGTCACACCCTACAAAGCAATAGCAGACAGCAATGAGGGGTATGGTTTCACAAGGCCACCTTCTCGTGTTTAGACCAACGTTCCTCAGCACCGATCGACTTCTACTAAACATCAAAGGTTCATTGCAGCGGGAACATCCTCGCGAGATTACGATAACCACTGTTACATGGAAAAGTCTAGTCAAATAAACCTCTCCAGGTGAAAACTTAAATGTGATGTGTTGTAAAACCCAAACCTCTTAATGCTTGAAACTGAAACACAACACTGGGGGGAGACGGGACTAGCGAGGGATGAAAGAAGGGTGCAGGTCAGGTGGAGTGTAAATACTGGCTGGCACGGACCATTTCTGTGCTGTAATATTCTATGTAATTCTTGTAGAGCAGCACTGCAGCTTGGCATCATTCCCTCAGGAGCCCTTCTCTACACTCAGCTGACAGGGGAAAACAATCTGAGCGAGAAAGCAGCGCCGATAAAGAATGGAACCTTTCCGGGGGTCAATCCCCCGAGCAGCTGTGGGTCAGAGCCACAATCTTCAGGTCAGATCAGTGTCCAGGAGCAGCACTATCCTTCGACACAGCAATATCATCAACTCATCTGTCCAGCCCTCACGGCTGGGGATAATGAGCCCTGTTGAAGGGGCACAGATGTTGGGAGAAACAAAGGATGGAGCCCATTCTGTGGTCTGCATGTTTTAATATTGCTGCTGACACTCACAGCCCAGACATACGTGTCTGGAACTCTCACCCCCAAAAGGGAGGTAAATGGAGGTCTTATAGAATGGAAGACCAGGTTCGAGGGGTTGAATGGCTTACTCCTGTTTCTGTGTGTGTGTGCATATAACGTTTGGAGGTTAGGTGAAGGCAGGTTCCAGGTGGATGTGAACTGTGACCTCCCGAACATCAAACAGGCCAATGACTCACTGGCCCCACGGTTGACATAAATGGCTACATGTCAGCATTGAGTCAGCCTCTCAAAACCATAGGGCAAGAAGAATGTAGAGGAACAACAATAAGACTAAAAACAATAACTTTCATTTACACAGCGCTCTGCACATTTGATAATCCCGAGCGTCTCCCAGTGGGGTGGGGTTCAGACTCCGAGCGAGAGGGGGAGAGGGGTGAGGGGTGACCATTGATGTGGTCGAAGAGGTAAGTTTCAAACGACCAAATAGAGAAATATAAATCCACTGAGATTCCATCTCCTGATTTCAGTCCAATCTATTGCGAGTGCTCATGTGTGAAGGAGAGCGAAGCCCAGGGTTTAAATACAGTACATTTTGCGAGATTCCAAGTTGAACATTGTGCTTAAAATCACTTTGCACTGACTGACACCGAGAACCTGCCAGCAACCTGAGAACGAGCGGTTCACTGATCTCCTACAGTCATACTCCCGTTCTGTGAAAGAGAAAGCAGCAACATAACAACTTGTTCAATGCTCAAAGCGCTCTCTTGCTGAACGGACCTGAACAATGGTGTACAAACCATTTAACCATCAGTCGCTGAGCAGAGCTCTCATCGCTACAGCACAGTAGGTTGGAGGCTGCTGTAACTCGCTCACTGTTGTTTGGGACCAGCAAAAAGTGTTTGGGACCAACCCAAACGCTTCTTAAAAAGACCGCACCAAAGGAGAAAAGGAATCTGACAGATTAACGGCTAAAAGCACTATGTGCTGTGTACTGATTGATAGCCACCAGCAAGACTACAGGTGTGACCCCAAGCTGTGCCGAGCTATCTGATCTCAGCCAAGGGAACTGCGGAAGGGGGGGGGGGCGGTGGTTGTAAATGGCATTTGCTAAGATTACCAGGGCAGGGGAGAAAACAAACAGGACACGGCCTGGAAAAGGGCGGGTGTGGTGCGCAGTCAGGATGGGATGCCTTCCATACCGGAATGCCTGGTCACAGATAAACAAGATACTGGAGTGCTGCCCTGTGCGAGTCAGGAGCGGGAGAGGTAGCTATGTGCTGGGAGGTTTATGGTAAGCACTGCCCACATCAACTGCTCTGGTCTTTGCCGTCAGAACCAGAACCTTCACCTGCGGATTGTAACGTAACATTCTCAATTATAATAATAATCTTCGCATTTGATACGGCGCCTTTTATCACGTCGTTGAGACGTCTCAAAGCGCTTCACAGCATATACTGTAAAGTGTATTTGTGGGCGAGTATCTACCAACATATTTACTCTTGAGACTGAGCGCTTACCAGAAGGAAGAACAGGGGTGGGGGGGCGTAAAGAGGGGGTTTTGTTACAGGCTGTGTGAGGGAGGACGGCTCAGACTCAGTGTCTGTGTGAGGGGGAGGAATGGCAGAGCGGGTGGGCGGGTAAGGAGAGGATTGTGATGGACTCTGTTGTAGGCTGTGTGAGGGGTGGGAGGGGGTGAGGCTCAGTGTGTGTGTGTGTGTGAGGCTCAGTGTGTGTGAGGCTCAGTGTGTGTGTGGGTGTGTGAGGCTCAGTGTGTGTGTGTGGGGGGGTGAGGCTCAGTGTGTGGGGGGGAGGGGGTGAGGCTCAGTGTGTGGGGGGGAGGGGGTGAGGCTCAGTGTGTGTGTGTGGGGGGGGTGAGGCTCAGTGTGTGGGGGGGGAGGGGGTGAGGCTCAGTGTGTGTGGGGGGAGGGGGGGAGGCTCAGTGTGTGGGGGGGAGGGGGTGAGGCTCAGTGTGTGGGGGGGAGGGGGTGAGGCTCAGTGTGTGTGTGTGGGGGGGGTGAGGCTCAGTGTGTGTGTGTGGGGGGGTCAGAGCTCAGTGTGAGGGGGGGTCGGGGCTCAATGTGTGTGTGTGGGGGGGTCGGGGCTCAGTGTGAGGGGGGGTCGGGGCTCAGTGTGAGGGGGGGTCGGGGCTCAGTGTGTGTGTGTGTGGGGGGGTCGGGGCTCAGTGTGAGGGGGGGTCGGGGCTCAGTGTGTGGGGGGGTCGGGGCTCAGTGTGAGGGGGGGTCGGGGCCTGTCTCTCTCTCTCTCTCTCTCACCTTTCTTCCTGCCGATGGTCCACTGGCGGTTGACGAGGAGGATGGGGGAGTCGCTGTGGGTGTCGCCGAGGCCGAGGGTGTGGAGGCGGGTCAGGCGGCCCCAGGCGCCGCTCTCCATGGCCTCGCGCTGGGCCCCCGCTCGTTCAGCCCCCGCCTCGCGGGCGCCAGGCCCGGGCCCGGTCAGCTCCGAGCCTCGACACCGGGCGGCAGCGCGCGGCCCACCGTCTAAACACAACAAACCGTCATCGAAGCGGCTGAACCGGCCGCCCGCGCGCCCGCCAGGCCCAGCCGCCCGCTCCCGGATGGCCCGCCCACGCCGCGCTCCGATTGGTTCAGGCGCGGCCGTGCGGCCTCTGATTGGCTGTCGCCCCCCCGTCCATCACTCCCGGCTCTCTTTCCCCCCCCCCACCGCCCACCGCCCGCCCTGAGGCCGGCGTCACCCTGGTCACGTGCCGCGGACCGGCGGCACGTCAATCACAGTCCCGGCCCCGCCCCGAGGCCGGCGTCACCCTGGTCACGTGTGAGGGGATCTTTCCTTCTGTCTCCTCCCCCCTCCCCCCCCCACCCCAGGAGCTGTATACATTATATATAAATTATACATTCACATAAAGTCAGACTCCCTTCCAGCAAAAATTACAATCATTTGGTCACTCAATCCGCGCGCGTGTCTGTGGGACGCTGCTGTGCGCAATTGGCTGCCGCGTTTTGCCCACAAAATACACACTTTACGGTATAATTGAATGAAGCACTTTAAGACGTCGCGACAAAGTGATAAAGCGCTGTATCAAGTGGAAGGATTATTATTATTGTTATTATTAGAAAGCAGTGGATCCAGCATTAGACTGTCTTCCCACCTGGCGAGAGAGCAGAATGTGTCCCTAACTCAGGAGGAGAGCACACAGCCGATCCCGCGCTTGACCAGCACTCGCGATAAATCATTTACTAAAGAAATTAAAGACATCGTTATTTAATTCTGATTTATTGCCGTGCAATCATCATTATCATCATCAACCATAATCAATCCCAGGAGGACATGCCTGCGAGGAGAGCAGCACAGCCATTTCCGGGAGATTAATGACTTATCTTAGGCTGCGTAATTTGGAATAATGGCAAACAATTAAACGGAACAATACGCAAAGAATGGAAATAAATGAAGAATTAATAAAAGAGAATCAATACGTACAGTTCCATCAGTCACCCGTTGCTCTTCCCCTCTGGCGGGTGAGATCACTGGGACCGTTGGTTTTGCAGGATAGAGAGAAAGTGGCTGTACACGTTCTAAAGGCCTTGTTGTGTCTTCACAGACAGTCATGACTGGGTTTATGATCTGTCCACGGAGGGGAAGCCTTGCCGCGGCCAGGTGTCAGCCCACAGTCCGGCCTTTATGTCAGGAGAAAGTGCTGCTGTCCTTCCAATTAAGCTCTCCAGGCTCCTGCTGACCTGGGCTCGGGGCAGCCTGAAGCTTCCACATCCTATAGTTAAGTAGAAACTCTTTCACTGTCACGTTGTTTTAAAGATCGAAGATCCTTGTAAAGTGCTTTGAGACGTCCCCACGATGCTGGATGGAAAGCCGGGTTCATTTACTTTATTTATGTGACATCTCAATGCCCTGTCTGGCTCTGCCTTTCAAAAAAGTTGGCAAGTTTTTGCTCACCGGGGGAGAGTTGGTATTTTGTTTCCCTCGTGCATTTGATGCAGTGCCTTTCACACCGGGAGGATGTCTCATAAACCACCGTGAAGTTGATTGACTGATTGTATCTGGGGGATTGTTGACCAGGACGCTGGGAGAGAGAGTGAGAGAGAAACTCCCTTCTCTTTTCCAATAGCGCAGCGAGATCTTTAACGTCCAGTTGACCAGGGCACAGACAGGGAGCTCGGTTTAACGGTTGCACAAAGAAGGAAATTATTCTTCTGTTCAGCAAAACCATAACCTTCAGGGATTTGTCAACACAGAGACTGGTGTGTTCTCACCTACTGCTAAGTGTCTACGCGGCTGGTTTAATCACCGTCAGTGATTTACACAGGGTCACAGTGGGGACAGTATCACTCACTGCTTACTGCCTCTTTACACCGTCTCTCATTACGCCATTCCTTGGTAGGAAATTGATCAGTCCGTTGCAGCTGAGCCCTGGCGCACGCACACTGGCGCGCACACACAGGAATCAAAGACCGATTCCAGAGCACAGAAACAAGCCAGCTCAAGTGTGGCTTTCATCCCAAATAGAAGGGATATATCACTACAGGTCACGCATGACATAACACATCTCTCCTTCGCCTGGTTTGGCAGAGTTTAGCCCATAACTGTGCTTGATTGAATTACCACACTGCCATGTTTCGCCCATAAAATACACAGTCACTGCACTTTACAGTATATCCCAAAGCGCTTTGAGATGTCTCGAAGACATGATAAGTCTCTACATCAAATCAATTATTATTATTAGATCAAATGCAAGGATCATTATTTGACTAAATTTACTCCTCTTCCTCTCCACCCTGTTAAACTAACGTTGCAGAAAACGAATGAATCATTTTTTCTGTCAATTTCCACCCTCTCCTGGGCTCTCGCTCCCATTAAACCACCTCATTTACTCATTCCCTGCCCACACTGCTCCCCACCTCTGTCAACACCTTCACATCACTCCTTTGTCTCTCTGTCTAGCCACTAAAATTCCCTAACCTCATCCACCCGCCAGGAAACACAGTCACTACACGTTACAGTGAACCTGGTGAAGCGCATTGAGATGTCCTGACGTGAAAGGCATTGGATCAAACACGAGGTTCATTTATTTTATTTAAGTGACGTCTCGCTATCCCTGGCTGTTTCTGCCATTCAGACTAGTTGGCAAGTCTTTGCTCGCTGGGGCCAGAGTTCAATGAGCCCTTTGTTTAAATACACACAATTGTTTCTGATACTTACATCCGCAATTCACATCTTTAATCTCATCACATCAACAAAGCCTTTGATGCCCTGTCACTGTACACTGTAGAGCAGCAGTTATTGTATAGTAATTTCTGACCTGACAACTCGTCCAACCAGTCAACACTGTTAACCCACTGATTTGAATGGACTTTATGATGTCAATGACTCTCAGTCTTGCTGGTTTGTCAGAATTGATAACCAAATCCGCAGATCAGAATTAATAGTAATATAATAATAATCCTTGCATTTGATATAGTGCCTCATCACGTCATTGAGACGTCTGAAAGTGCTTCACAGAATATACTGTAAAGTGGAATGACTGGATTTTGTGGATTAAATGCGGCAGCCAATTGCGCTCAGCAGTTCCCCACAAAAAGTTGTGGATTGAGTGACCACATTATTATCGTTATTGACTGATAAAGTGACTATATTTTTGAAGGGTTTATTATCCCCGGAAAGCGATCTAACAATTGATTAACAACCGGGTTCCAACCGACTGCTCGGTAAACAATCCTTACACTGGATAATAATAATAATAATCCTTGCATTTGATATATATACATAAATATATTATATTGGATACAGCGCCTTATCACATCATCGAAACGTCTAAAAGCGCTTCACCAGATTTACTGTAAGGTGTAGTGACTGTGTATTTTGTTGCTAAAGTGGTAGCCAATTTTCACACAGCAACATCCCACAAACAGTCGAGAAGTGAATGTGACTAGTTTTGTCTGGGCATTGCTGGTCAGGACACCGGGAGAGAGAGAGAAACTTCCTTCGCTTTTATGAATAGTTTCACAGGATCTTCAACATCCACCTGAACAGGAGCCCGGAGAGACCTGACCTGCAAGTCCCGACGTGGAGCTTTGCAGTGGCTGAATGATAACGTCGCTGCCCGCTGTGTGCCCTCCAAGTGTTGACCTCAGGCTGACAGATCATGTCCTGAATCACTGCGCCATCACGTCCCCAACGCCTCCGTCCGTCCGTCAGCAAGATTGTCCAATTAGTGTCAATTAGTGCCACTTGATCAAGCGCTATTATCCCTTCCTAAACGACTTTGCCATACGCTCGTTTAACATTACAGACGAGTTCAGATTAATGTGTAATAAACTCTCGCTGGGGATAGAAAGAAACGACTTTTCTGTGCTGATGGGGAGATTTAGATCAGTTATTTCAAAACCAATTCTCACATCTTTTTGCGAGCGAGATAGCGAGCGAGGTCATTAACATTGCTGCAGAGAATGACCTCGACTTCTTTGTCAAGAGATTCATTCCTGCAGGAACGGTATAATTGCTGTTGGTGTCTGTCCGTCCAGCCACTCGCCTTCCTATAGGCTCTCAGAGAAGTTCTACACTGACAAATGAGGAGCTTTCTCAGTTGCCCACGTGTGTCAATCGATGTGGAATCGATGAATGAGTCGTATCAAAGAGGAGTGAGAGCCGTGTGTGAGAAGCAGGAATGTTTGTGTGCAAATTCCACAATTGTCAACGGAACCGCTAATGACTGATAACAACAACAACTTGCATTTATACATTTGCAGCGGCCTTCACACAGGACAATGTCTCAGAGCCATTGTACCAGCATCCCAGCTCCGCTCTTTTCTTTCTCTCCATTCCTTCTTTGAACCCCTCTAATCCGGCTTCCGCACTGCCCACAGCACGGAAACAGCCCTGGTCACAGTCACTAATGACATTCTGAACATCTGTGATCAGGGCTCCCTCTGCCTTCTTGTCCTCCTTGACCTCTCTGCCGCCTTCGACACTGTCAACCACTCCATCCTCATACACCGCCTCTCCTCTTTACTTAATCTTCGCGGACCTGCCCTTGCCTGGATCAAATCCTATCTCTGTCACCGTCTCCACTTTGTTGCCTCTAACGGTTTTTCCTCCAGCCCCCGCACTGTCATGTTTGGCATCCCCCAGGGCTCTGACCTCGTCTCCTCTTTAATATCTACATGTCCCCCTTGGTGATGTCATTCGCAGACATGGGGTCAACTTCCATATGTATGTCGATGACACCCAACTCTATCTTTCTGCCTCCACCCTCAACTCCAGGACCACTGCTGTCCTGACAGACTGTCTGTCGGACATCAAGTCCTGGATGAGGGCAAATTTCCTACAATTGAACATGAACAAGACTGAGGTCCTCCTGATTGACTCGCGCCAGCGCCTCAGCACCTCAGGCTCCGGCAACATCACCCTCCGTGGTTGCACACTACAACTCACCAAACCAGTCAGGAACCTGGGGATCTTGTTCGACCCTCAACTGTCTTTTCTCCCCCACATTCAAGCCATGACCTGCTCTGCCTTCCCTCACCTCCGTAACATCACCCGACTCCGCCACTACCTCACCCCTCAGGCCGCTGAAACT